ATCCGGGCATTCGGTAGAGAGCAACAGGAGAAACCCTTTTTTTCTCAGTCATTGGATGCGGTTTAGGGTTTAGTTCAGGTACTGCCCCCATACAGTAAGAGTCTATAGTAGGGCTACCATTAAGGTCCTAATATATCTATATTATGAGCATTATACAACTATTACTGAGTGGGGGCCGTACCCAAGGTTTAGGGTTTGTTTGTGGTCTGGTTTGTTCTGGCAGGGCCTGGGAGAGTTAAGCATGGATGCACATCTTCCAACCCTGCAAACAACGGCAAAACCCCTGCCGGAAGTCTTGAATCAGAATCCTAGTAGTAGAGTAGGTAACCTTTAACCTTTTTTTGGGTAGTATAGCCCCTAAATAATCCCTACATAACCAAAAAGGTTAACGTTTAGTTCCCCATGATACCCGACAAGTAGGGAATCCCAGTTCTGCTGGTCCGGGATCGAAGTCAGGAGGAGTTTCGGGGTCTTTCCAGAACTGCCTGGCACATCGGGAAGGAGCAGGATCTAGACATACTGTAGGGCCATGTAGGGGCGTTTTGTTGTTCTTTTTCCGAGTGTTTGGGAAGATTAAACTAGGAGGACTATAAGGGGATATCATACAGCGTTTAAAAATAGGGGCCTTGCCAAGCAGACTTGGGTGTTTTAGCAGGTTTTGCCAGAACTCTATAAGTCTTTTATAAGGGTCTCTACAGGTCGATAAAGGGCTCCGTTTAATTTAGGCACCCTGCAATGATTGGAGCGGAGTTTTGAGGTATGGGAAAGAAGGATAAGTTTTGCAGGCCTCTATGTTACACCCGTTTGGCAAGTCCTGCCTAGACTAAGCATGTTGCGGCTCTGGCGAGACTGTCGTAGTTTGAGAACAGCGGAGTTGGTATCCAAACGTTCCTGGTCTACTGACTACACGAATGTTCTACACTTGATAATTGCATGACACGAAACCCGAAACATCGAATCCATGACAATGATTACTGCGCGTTCTTTCCTTGTCGTCGTAGCACTTGTTCCTGGTTTGCGGCAGCCCCAAACCTTAAACGTTACATTCCAAATACTGACAAAAGTTGTACATACGGCCGAAGCCTTCGATCGTCATATAAAGGCCTCTCTGCAAGGGCCCTGCTCCAGTTTTGCTTCCATATCGTACAGCTGTTACAGAACCCCTTTAGGACCCGTGAATCCTCCGAGATATTGAGACCGGCTTTCTCAAGCCCTACAAGAGCCCCCAAACAGAATCGGCGGTTTGGAACTTTGCAGGAGGAGCTCTGGAATTGCAGCTTAACTGCAGACGGGCAGTTGATTCTGTATGGCGCTTTTATGTGCTTAGGGGGGTTTCAGGATGCAGGGTCTTTACGCTTTAGGGTTTCAGGGTTTAGGGTTTCAGGCTTCAGGGTCTTTCTGGAGTGACGTTTTGGCGCCTGGTTGTTTCAGGGTCCCGTAGAGATACGACGACTGTTGGGTGAACCCCTTTGCAGTCACAGGCTCCAGTAAGGTACTGTAAGGGTGATCGACCTACAGAACATGTTGTAGTATAAGAACAGATCTGCGACTTTCCAACTAGGTCTTGTATTTCGGCCACAAGCTTATCATGTCACTTTGGCCGCAAGGTAGCTCTGAATCAAGAAGCTCTGAATCGAGCGTTTTTCCTGTAACGCTCGAACTACTACGTGTAGCACAGGGGCCTGAATAAATCCCGATACTGGTTCTTAGGGTTCCTGAATAAGTATACTATGACTATGGTATACCAAAAACATCCAAAACCCTTCTTCAAGTCTTAAGGCTCCAGCATTATATCCTTGTCAGGGGTTGTATTCTGTTGGACCCGCATGAACAGACACCGTAAGGAACAGTATTGCAAAGGATTCAGGCCCCTATAGCTTCCCTCCTATTGCCTTTTTCAATAGATAACAATATTATTGGGCTGATTTTTTTGCTACGCGAAAACCCTTCAAATCTCTTGTAGAAACCCTTACAGGAACCCCAAGAGGAACCCTGCATACTAGCATGACATTACGTATTATTCAGATATTCACCCTTTAACCCCGAAACTTAGGCCCTGAACCCTCGAACACTTAAACCCGAAGCAATGAACCTTTAAACCCTTCGCCCGAACCCTAAACCTGAAACCCTCCAACCCCAAACCAAGAAGCCCTTGGAAATCTTCAGGATTGAAACTCAGAAGCTTCGAGCAAGAGCCACCAGAAGCATGGATTCTACAAGGCTTGTCCATTCCAAACCTCTAGCCAGAACCCCCGGGAGGATCGAAAAAGTAGATCCCTTAATGGGGTTCCTATAAAGTCCCGTAGTAGTATAGGGCCCCAAATTAGGTGATCTACTTTCCAGATCCTCCCGAGGGTCTGGGTATAGCCTTGAACCTTGTAGAAACACCTCTGTGAAGTAACGCTAAACACTGTTACGATGGCCCTTTTTTCCGCCGTTTTTCAACCAGAGATCACCAGGCTCTCTGGGTGACTTCGTGGGCTTTCGTGTCAGGCCAGGAATCCGGCTTTAGGGGTGTCATGTACTTAAAGGATGATGGGACTTAGTAACTAGGGTTTTAAAAAGGACAACTATACGTGTAATTGCATATAACCCCAATTAGGATACCTGTAACCGTACTTACTAAGTCCGATGATCCTCCATGTAGAGGCTATGCCCAGAGTCTCCGCAAGCCCTTCATGAAGGACCATGCCGAAAATTATAGGGAGATTCCCCTCTAAGCCCCACACTCTAAGCCCAAAAGGTTTAAAGCTTGGGACCTGACTTTGACTTAAGGGTGTTGGAGCCTCCGGCACGCAAACAAACCATGAACTCTTGAACCATGCATCTTTAGGGTTCCTTCGTGGGTATATTGCCTGCAAAAGCTTGTGTGTTGCACTTGTAAGCTATTCTACCCAGACCCCCGGGAGGATCCGAAAATAGATCCCTTAATGGGGGTTCCTATAAAGTACCCTTAGTAGTATAGGGCCCCAAATGACAGAGGAAAGCCAACGAATACCATCGGGATTTGACCCCACCCACCTTCCTCCTACCTTAAAGGGAACTCCAGAAAGTTGGAATATGGCTTCAGGGTAGGATACCTTATAATTTACCATAAGGGGTTTAGGATAATCATATTCCAACTTTCTGGCTTTTACTGTAAGCCCTCATGCCTAGACCCGAACCCCTAAACCCCTAAACCCCTAAACCCCTAAACCCCTAAACCCCTAAACCCCTAAACCCCTAAACCCCTAAACCCCTAAACCCCTAAACTTAAACCCCAAAGCTTAAAGCCGGAACCTTAGAGCTGAAGCCCTCATTCTCAAAAGCACTAAGCCCTACTTGGAAGGGCTTTGGGGGACTTAGTAAGTAGGTTATAAGTAGGGTTATAATTAGGGTAACTCCATTTAGGGTACTTATAACTCTACTTATCACCTACTTACCAAGTCCCCTGCCCTTCCAAGTAGCCCACATGCTGAACCTCACAACCTTCTGGACTCACGCTGTAAGATTTCGGGCTTGTGCGTTCTGGTCATAGGGTGCAGCTGATCGTGGGGTCTGAACAATGAGTAATGCTGTCCCTTAGATTTCCTTTTAAGGGCTCCTCAAGAGATCCTGAAAAGGTTTCTGGGCTCCTTCAAGGGGTTCTTGGAATGGGTTTACAGAGTTTTGTGTTACGGTTGAGGTTTAACAATAGTCAGTAATAGTATTTCTTAGGGCTGCCGATTTAAGTACAGTAGATTATGCTCCAAACCCCATGAATCATTCACGCTCTTACACTAGGGTAGTATGATATTTGGGCTCGGGGTTATCGTGTTTAGGGAAATATAGCTTTGGGGTTCATGGTCTTGACATGTGGGGTACAGCAGAAATGAAAAGGTGTCGGTGCTGTTTCGATGTGTAGGGCTCGGTTTGGGTTCAGGGATTTAGGAGTTTAAGGTTTAAGGTCTAGGGTGCAGAGTTCACTGTTCACGATTTCAGGATTTAGGGTTCACGTTTTAAGGTGTTTCGGCAGTGGTGAGCGTAAGATCAACGAGGAGCACAGCATGCCCAATCGAAGTGGAGACCTTCATACGAATCAGATCACGCAGCAGAACAGAACCCTTACAGGACCCCTAAACCCAAAACGCTCACACAAACCCTCAAACAAACCTTAAGATAACACGAGAAGGTCCTTAGTTTTAAGATTCCGCGTCGTCGTTTTAAACCGGCCAGAGAAATATCAGCAGTCATGGCCATCAACATCGACATGACCATCATACCTCATTAACAGGCTCCTCCTCCTCTTCCTCCTCCTCACCATCGCCATCACCATGCATACCGTCGTCGCCGTCCTCACCATGAGCACGAATTATCGTCGCCCCTGTCATTGTCATCATCAATGTGGGACGTTCCGAAAAGAGGGGACCCTAATGTAGTAGCCTAAATAGTAGGATCCCTATTATAAGGACCCCGAAAATAAGGTACCCCTAATTTGCGGAAACTGCCAAATGGGTAAAATAGCAATGCTTACAAAACACCCTAAACCCTGAATTTTCGGAAACTTTCATGTCATCGTCGTCATCATCGGCATCATCCTCATCCTCGCCCTGATCCTTATCCCTGTGCTCATAAATCCTCTTTTCTCATCGACATCCTTATTCTATAATCCTTGTCTTTATCGTTTTTGCTATGGCCAACCATCACTTCGCTCATCAGGAGACTTACTGACACTACTATTGATCTAGGGTTGAGAGTCTTCGCTTGTTTTGGGTCTATACTTCTCAAGTGTTGATGGTGTTCGGGATCTCACTTACCTTTGGTTTGTAGGGAATGGAAGAATGGCAGTCGTAGTAGTTATTATTGTACCCCGTTCCTCCATTTCCTACTAAGCAAAGGTAAGCTATAGGATTATTAAGGCCCCTTTACACCCTTATAGACCCCTTTATAAAGCCCCTTTCATTCCCTACTAAGCAAAGGTAAGCTCATGGCAGACAGTTTCAGCGACAAACTGCCGCAGGCTGAGTGCCGAAGGTGCCCCCATGGCTGTGGAGGCCATTATAGTATCCTTAAGGGAGGGGGGTCCAAGGGGGGTATATAGCCTAGTGATCCCTAATTCTCCCTAGTACTCCCTAAGGTTCCCTTACAGTCCCCTAAGGATTCCTTAGGTATATACCCTCCCCCCTTGAACCACCCTCCCTTAAGGATCCTATAACTTTTGGGGGGGCTTCTGAGCTCGGATCTTGGTTATTTTAGAGTTTAGGGTTTAGGGGTTTGGGGTTCAGGGTTTAGGGATTTAGGGGTTTAGGGTTTAGGGGTTTAGGGATTTAGGGGTTTGGGTTTAGGGTTTAGGGTTTAGGGGTTTAGGGGTTTAGGGGTTTAGGGTTTAGGGGTTTAGGGTTTAGGGTTGAGGGGTTTAGGGTTCAGGGTTTAGGGTGTAGAGGGAGTTTGGGTTCCGGCTTCTAGTGTTTACTAAAGGTTGAAAGTTTGGGGTTTGCGGGAGCCTGTCCAGAAAGCTGAAACCATGGTAATAATGGTTAGCAATAGTAGTAACAATAATATTAGCAATAAACCGAGAGCTTTTAAGCAAGAGCCCGCAGACCGAAAGCTTTCGAAGCCCAGACAAAAACCGGCTCCCCCTAAGCTCGAAACCCAAAACCCCACACCGAAAGAAACCAGAATCCAACAGGGAGCCCCCCTTTTCTAGAGAGCCCCGGGGCCCTCAACCCTAAACCCGAAGCCCTCAACCCTAAACCCTAAACCCTAAACCCTAATTATGAAGCCTAAAGCCTAAACCCGAAACCCTAAAAAACCCGAAGCCCTCAACCCTAAACCCGGGGCCCCAAGCCCTATAAAGCCTAAAGCCTAAACCCTTAAACCCTAAACCCTAAACCCCTAAATCCCTAAACCCCTAAATCCCTGAACCCTAAACCCCTAAACCCGAAACCCTAAGAAACCCGAAGACCAGCTCCGCAAGCCGAGATCAGCGGCATCACCGCGGCATCGGCGCTGCCCGTGGGCCTGGAGGAGTCGTCGTCGCCGTCGGTACTATTAGCAGTGGTAGTGGTAGTGGTAGTTTTGTGGTAGTGGTAGTAGTAGTAGTAGTAGTAGTAGTAGTAGTAGTAGTAGTAGTAGTAGTAGTAGTAGTAGTAGTAGTAGTAGTAGTAGTAGTAGTAGTAGTAGTAGTAGCCGCCACGGCTCAGACGTTTTGGAAGTTTCGCGCTGGCTTTCGAACAGGCTCTGGACTCCAACCCTTCGTTGCTAGAGGTCTCAAACAGGCCTCTCTCTGAACGACTAAGGGTTGGTGCCTCACGCTGAGCCATGTGCCATGTGCCAACTGTTTGCGTCTGAGCCGCCAGGTCCCAATTCCTGGACCCAGTACCCTGTCTCAACACGGGCCCACTGGGCAGGCGGTAGGGTTTCCACTAGCCGCGTGGTGGAGGGAGTCACTAGGCTTGCCTTGTGACGAAATAGCGGATGGCGCTGCTCCCAGTGCACTCACACAATTATTCTCAGATCAGGAAGAATTCTTTCAAGCATGTTTGCCGACAGGTGGCTGCCAGCCAGCAGCCTGTCTCTTACCGAGGTCAGGTTCTGACCCCGGCTCTTCTTAGGCGGATGGGCAATTGCCCGCCACAGCCTGGCCCCAAGCGGTCTTTTGCACCACGATCTCGGGCAGGTCAGGCCACCAGGCCCCTCCGAGTACTGTCCTGGAATGCCGGCCATCTTGGCCAGCAACAATGGTCGGAAGTCAAGTCATGGCTCTCCACTGAGGCCAAACTCGTCTGCGATGTGTTAGTCCTGCAGGAGACACACTGGCAAGCCACGGCCGAATTTAGTGTTGCAGGCTGGTATTGCGTCTCGTCTGCATCGGCGGCTGATCCGAAAGCCTCTAGGCGAAAGCAACGCGGGGGCAAGGCCCACAAACAGCCACCTGCAGAGGCAATGCCTACTGACGATAAGCCGACCCCACCCCGCAAGGAGCCCTCAACAACTCGCGCGGACGGGGTCATGGTCTTCCTGTCCCCACACATCTTGCCCAAGAGTGTGCGCTGGCAGGAACATGTCATAGGCAGAGCCCTGGAAGTCAGGTTTGACTGGCATGGGGCCCGCATGACGCTAGTTGCTGTCTACCAACACGTTTGGTCCCCGGCCAAGCAGGTGCAGACTAACCGTCAGGACAGAGCGCACGTCCTGAAGGCTCTCGGCCGATGCGTGCAGCGAGTGCCGCACAGAGACACGCTCATCCTGGCAGGAGACTTCAATAGCTCCTTACAAAAGCAGCCTAGGCTGGTAGGTCCCGGGACCATCTGCCCACAAGAACCGAGGCCCGACGAGCCAGAGCTAACCAACTTTCTACTCAATCATCGCTTAGTTGCTCTCAACACGTGGAGGCCTCAGCCGACACATACATTTTGGCAAGGGGAAACGCGCACTCAGATTGACTTTGTGCTCACGAGGGAGGTCTCTGCTGGTGGCTATGCCAAAGCCTCTACGCCGCTGGCGGATTTCCCGCTGGGCAGCTGGAAAAAAGGCGGGCACTTGCCCATAAGTGCCACTGTCAAGCCAGTTCGGCACTGGAACCTGCCTGCTCCTCAGCTACAGCAACATCACTACGACTCTGCTGCCCTGCAAGCAGCTGTCAGGGACAACACGTTGCCAGCCCAGCAAATGCTCGAGTGGGTCAAAGCACGCCTCACCCCGGACATGCAGCCGGCGTCTTGGGATCGTCTCCTTGGCGAAGCGACATCTAGGTTTTTCCCTAAGACCCCGGTGGCAATGCCAGATAGTCCGGAAACGCGCATAGCCAGACGCATGTGGCGCTCTGCGCGTGGGAGCAATGCTCACCCCAGGGCAGAGTCATCGCCGGATGATGAGGCCCGACAAACCCTGTGTGAGCAGCATAAACAAGCGGTTAAGCAGGCTCGAAAATGCCAAACAAAGCGGTTTCTTGCTGAGGTGGATCAGGCTCTGAGCCAGGGCGACCAGCACCTTGCATATCAGACTCTCAAGCATCTCCGTCCGTGGAAACCGGCCTTGAAAGCACAGCTCAAGGACGAGCAGGGCTTCCTGCTCAGTCCCGCGAACGAACTGGATGAACTGGGGCAGTATGCAGCCAAGGTCTTCGCGGCGCATCCACAGCTTCCGTCAGACTCGGGACTGTTGCCCCTCTTGCCACAGACCAAGTTAGCGAAGCACATTGCCTCGATCAAACCTGGCAAGGCAGTTCCAAAAGGAGCGGCACCGGCCGCAGCCTGGAAACTTTGCGCTCAGCCGGTCTCAGAAGCACTTTCACAGTACTGTTCCAGTCTGGCGCAGGACCAGTCCCTGGACGACGATCTGACTCGCGCGGATCTTTGCCTCATACCAAAACCGGGTAAACCGGCAGACAAGCCTTCCCAACTAAGGCCACTGGGCATCCTTCGCCCGGATGCTAAGGGACTGGCGGGCACGGCCAAGGAGCTCCTGGAGCCTCTCACAGTGCCGTACATGAAGCCACTGCCCCAGTTTGCGTACCTCCCTGGGAGAGGTCTCTCTGACGCACAGAGTAGAGTGGTTCAGCACTTGAGGGAAGCCAGGCAACTCTGTCGCAATGCGAATCTCACCCGAGCAGATCAACAGCGGGGACAATGTCCTGTGGGTCTAGTCGGCGGCATCACTTTCGCTCTTGACCTTTCACAGGCATTCGACACTGTCTCTCGCAGTGAGATTCTGTCCCTGCTCGATGAACTGGGTGCGGACCCCTCCCTTCAGAAGCTCATACATGGCCTTCATCATCGGTCCAAGTACAGGCTTCACTCTCAGGGGGCCTACAAGGACGTGGAAACCACCACGGGCATCAAACAAGGCTGCAAGTTGGCCCCCACGTTGTTTTCTGTGCTCACGGGCCGCCTTCTTCATAGGTTGATCGACACGTTTGGCTGGGACAATGTCCGCAAATACTTCACAGGATACGCGGACGATTTCACCATGCATCGCACCATCCGCAGCAAAGCTGACGTGGACGCAGCTCACAAGATGATCCTACAGCTTCTGTCGGAGGTGGAGAAACTGGGATTGCGCGTCAACCCGGCCAAATGTGCCATACTCGTCAAGCTTAACGGCAGGGAGGCGGAGGCCATAATTCAGAAACACACCTGCTGGCTCCCCGACTCGGAGGGCAAGCTACAGAGGCATTGGCGCTTAGGCAGGCACAAATCTTTCCCTGCCTACAGACTTGAGACGCAAGTCAAGTACCTGGGCATCCAAATCTCCTATGGTAACTTTGAAATGCAGACGCTGCGCTTCCGCATAGCAGAGGCTGCCAAAAAGCTCCAGCAGGTTAAGCGATTCGTTTACAATCGCCGTACCGCGGGGCCCATGGCCAGGCTGAAGGTTTGGTTCACCACCGTATGGGCCACTTTGGTCACGGGACTTCCCAAAGTCGGCCTCACGGAGGAGACGGCCAGGCATCTCAGAGGATGGTATGCGCACAAGATACGGTGAGTCCTCAATCAAGCTGCTCATGTAAGCCGCACGCCCACAGCAGACCTGTACCGTCTGCACTCAATCCAGGACCCGGTGGCTAAAATTCAAGCTAGGATGACTTCCAGACTTAAGCGATTGTGCAAAAGACCAAGCAACCCCGAGGCCATCCCCTCAGCCCTGCTGGCGAACATTCTAAGCGCATCCTCGGCGATGCGAGGCCCATGGGCCCAGCTGGGTCCCTCAGCAACGAGATCAGAAGCACACCGGCAGCCGTCACGGCCAGCTACATATGGTGATGTCACGCAAATGAGTCACGTTGTACAGGACCTGCAGGACATGCTGAGAGAGGTCGAAAACCTTCCGGCATCTACTGAAGCCTCGCAGCAGAGACTTCATTCCTGCCCTCACTGCGGGTCTGGCTTTGTCTCTGCACACGGCTTACACATGCACGTTACGCGAATGCATCGAGAACACGTGTCGAGGTACATTCCCCCCTCCTTTGATCGCAGTCGGCATTCTAAGGATGGTCTACCTGTCTGTTCTGCATGCGACAAGGCCTTCCATCAATGGAAGGCCTACGCGACCATCTCTTGTCGGGGGCCTGCACGCAGCCGGATCGCCTGCGCCAGATCTCCCTCACCACGGAGGAACAGCTGCAAGGTCAGGCCCTCCAGGGCTTGGCGGCCTTCCGAGCTAAGGTGCAGAGCTCGCCAAGCAACCGACTCAGTGCCCTTGCCACCCAGCCCGAAGCTCAGGAGCTCAAACATCGGTGCATCTTGTGCGGTTTTTGGACCCCGGACCACACCAAGATGAAAAATCATCACAGACAGGCCCATGCACTGGCCTGGCAACGTGACGGTCCGGCAGCAATTCAGCTTTGCAGTCCCTTCTGTAAGCTGCAGGTATATGACAAACGCAAGCACCCGGAGCAGTGCATTGTCCTGTTTCAGGTCCTGCTTGGGTGGCACAAGGTACAAGGCACCGACAAGATGCGGGAACAATGTTCCAAACCTCATCCAAAGACCGCGGTGACAATGTCACTTAGTGGTTTTTTCGCGGCTGCAGACAAGCCAGCTGCCGTGGCTTCATCGTCACCTGTCGCCATGGCAGCGACAGGTGCCGCCGGCAGCACTCTCCCGCCGGGCCTGTACTCTCGTATGCGGCACATGTTGAACTCGGGTAACACATGCTACGTCAACGCGACCATTCAAGCCCTCTTAGCGGCGCTTGACTCTGCGTCCAATGTAGCGGAGCTGGAACCACTGGTTCAACACTGCACAAGCACGGAAGCGGATCCAATGGATGCGAGGCCCATCAATCCTCCAAGCCTCTTCGCTCTCCGGTCCCTAGTGCCAAGATGGCGATTCGATGGCCGTCAACAAGACGCCTCCGAATTTGCAACGTATCTGCTAGAGCACAACACTGGAACTCTGCAACCAGCTCGCTGGGAGGGACGCACCAATGGAGTGCCGGAAAGTGAGGACGATGGTCTCACGCCGCTCCTGCTGCCGCTTTCCTCCGCCTGTCGCACACTGCAGCAGGCCTGTACGGCTTGGTACAACCACATGTTCCAGCGCGCCCTGTCATGGGCCCCAGACATCTTACCAGTCACTGTTGCTCGATGGATGGATGGCACAAAGCGACGAACCCCGTTAGACCTGCGCAGGCACATCTCTCTGCCGTCTTGGACTGAGGGACAGGTCCGGCAATGGCACCAGTACGCAGTCATTTCGGGAGTCTTTCGCATAGGTGCTGACATACACACCGGGCACTACCGGTCCTTCTGGATTCATCCCAACGGAGGCGTACTATATGTGGGTGATGACGCCACCCGCCCATACCCGGCCTCGGCCTCAGATCGCAAACATGTAATGGAAGACTGCTACCTCCTTTTCTTGAGAAGACAGGAGTGACTCTGACTCACCCTCAAGGGGTGAGTGCTGGCCCTCCCAGACTAGGAACGCGTGCACCAATAGGGTGCCTGTGCGTGGGAAGGCCGGACCCCACAATAGGTGGGCATGGCCCCCCCCACGTCAAGGCCAAGCATGCTTTAGGCATGCGCAGGCTTACCCGCAGCTTTTAAGGCTGACCCAGCATGGCTGATAAGATTCACAGCCCAGACCACCAACATGGTCGCACCACCTCTCCCCTAGCTCCGGATTCACAAATGGGAGAGCCTTCCGAGCCTTTTGGGGTCGACACTCGACGCCAGACATCTGGCGGCGGCAAGCAGCGGTCAGGCAGAGCCCTGCATGCCATCTCCAACGCTGAGCTGGCTCAGACTCTGGGGCCAGTGGCAGCCGCTCCTGGCATCAGTGAGTCCTACCTGACACATATGGTGCCAATGGCAGAATGCGCAAGTAGCAGCGGAGGCAATGCCTGTTTCTTCGTGTCTCTTCCAAGACGGACTGAAAGCCCTTCTGCTTGATGCCGCCGCTGTCAGTCGGAAAAACATGCCCAAGCCTGCTGCCAGACACGTTACAGCTGTGCGCGTCGTCGGATAACCACCTGAAAACGGCCTCAAGGCAACCCCCCTCTCCCGGGCCGGGAGAGAGGGGTTGCTTTTAGGGAGCTCGGTGCTACAGGACTCCCGACGCAAGGCCGTTGCGGAGCTGCTGCCGCAACCGCATTGCTGCCAGCATGCACCACGAGGATCATATCCCGACATCAGGTACGTCACAACAAGCTGGAGCTCGATATTTTGCAGCCTGCAAAATAGCTTTGGCTGATCTCTGCCAGTTCGCTTAAAGCCTGTAGGCCGCAAAAGCTCTCTCATCGGTCTTTCTGACCTGGGCTGATCAGCTATAGGGTCTGAGTCAGTTTCACACCAAAGTGAGTGCACCGCGGCAATCGCCCGCTATGTGCAGAGCCCGCTCGCACAGCGTTCAATTGAATAGTAGTAGTAGTAGTAGTGGTAGTAGTAGTAGTAGTAGTCTTGGTCGTAGTCGTGGAGGTGGTCGTGGTAGTGGTAGAAGGTGCAGGTGCAGGTTCAGGTGTAGGTGTTGGTGCAGGTGTGGCAGGTTGTAGTTACTGTAGTTATCGTCGCAGTTGTGATTGTGGCAGCAGCAGCAGCATTACCAGCAGCTGAAAAAGCGGTCAGCAAGCAGCAGCCAGATCGAGAGAAGCAGCGCGGGTGATCGTTTTGGTCATGGCTTATGAAGGTTTCTTAAGGATAGGGGTTTCTTGTTCACGGGATCTAGGACCTACATAGCAGTAGGAGTAGGAGTAGCAGTTCGAGTATGTGTGGGAGTAGATAGAGGAGGAGTAGGAGTCGGAGCAGGAGCAGAAGTCGGAGTAGCAGTAGCAGCAGCAGTAGCAGCAGCACCCAGCAGCACCGCCAGCACCACCATCACCAGCAGCACCGGCATCACAGTTACCATCGCCACCATCACCACCCCGGGTACTACTGAGACTTCTCCTCACACAGGCACCACCGGCAATTGGCAATAGTAATTACATTTAGTGATAGAATCCGATTTTATAAGGCTCCTTGCAGTTACAGGCTGTTATTGTATGGGGGCAGTATTCGAGCAACACTGTCTTCAGGGCAAGAGGTTACCCTAAACCCGGTCGAGGGTGAGGTCAGGACTATACACAGGGACCCTTGGCAGTTAGAACAGGGCTTTGAGGTATATCATGGCATCAACGTAGGGGGAGCCCGAAGGTACGGTTGATGATAAAAATCCTGCATTACCTTACGGACCCTAAACTATGGGAATTATGGTATATTCCTTATCATGGGTAATGCAGGGTTTATATCATCAACAGTATTGTTATTCAGTAAGTCCCTTACACTGTGTTCACGGGGTGGTGAAGCTGGCTTCGCTCAGACCAAGATTCTGAGGAGTACTGCGCGGTTTTCGAGTGGCTGTTCGAGTCGTGTCGGCACTGTAGAGTAGTGTCAGAATACTCGGTAAGACTATCCACGGAGATTCCTTCATAAAGCGGTAGTATACCCCAAAACCGCCGTCGTCTGAATACTAGGGCGCCTATCTAGGTTATTGAAGCAGAAGGTAATATTAGGAAAAAGGGTACCCTTGTTATTAAGGGTCTACTCACGAACGTAGCCATATTGCATCCACACCCAAAGCTCTGAAAATCTGACATGGGACATGTTAATTCTCAGCCTGCACCCTGAGCCACGATTCGGACAGCTCCCCAGCTCTTTTTCGCAAAGGTTCTTAAACCTTAAACCCGAAGCCCGTAAAGCCTGCTTACCTTAACTCCAGGCGGAAAAAGCGCCCCTAAACCCTAAACCCTAAACCCTAACCCTAAAACAAAAACAAAGCCCAAACCCCTGAAGCCTGAAGCCGACGAGGAGCAAACCCTGTTGCGCGGAACCGTCTGCGAACGGCAACGCGGTCTTTACAAGGGGGTTCAACGGTTTAGGGTTTAGGGTTTAGGGTTAGGGTTTAGGGTTTAGGGTTTAGGGTTTAGGGTTACGGTTTAGGGTTTAGGGTTAGGGTTTAGGGTTTAGGGTTTAGGGTTTAGGGTTACGGTTTAGGGTTTAGGGTTTAGGGTTAGGGTTTAGGGTTTAGGGTTTAGGGTTTAGGGTTTAGGGTTACGGTTTAGGGTTTAGGGTTTAGGGTTCATCCTAGACTCCCAAACTCCCCTCTAATGCACCCTAAATGCGGACTATTAAGGACCATATCATGGGTTCTATGAAAGGGCCACTGGGGGTCCTGGATGGTGGCTTGACATTACATAAGCTTCTCTACGGTTTGGGCTTCGGGTTTAGGGCTTAAGGTCTCTATAGTTTGGGGTGGATTGTCGAGGAAGTTTCCTTCCAAGCATCTGTAGATGAGTTGCGGACAGTTCATCTTTTGAAGCAGAATACGCGACAAACCCTAAATCCTTCACCCCTCAACCCTAAACCCCTAAACCCCTAACCCCTAAACCCTAAACTCCCAAACCCCTAAACCCCTAAACCCCAAACCCCTAAACCCTAAACCTAGTTGGGAGGTACCCAGAGACTCCAATATCCCTTAATTAAGGAATATTCCTTAAATTATAGTAGGATCCTTAATATGATTTAAGGAATATTCTTGAATTAAGGGATATTGGAGTTTCTGGGTAGAAGGAGCTTTAAGTACCCTAAATGGAGTTACCCCAATTATAACCCTACTTATAACCTACTTACTAAGTCCCCTGCCCTTCCAAGTAGTTGGGAGGCAAATCCTTCTTATAACTTAAAACGGATCAAGACCTACCCAGACCCCTGGGAGGATCTAGAAAGTAGATCCCCCAATTTGGTGCCCTCTAGTTGGGAGGTAGAAGGAGCTTGGGTGTTCAGAGGTTCAGGGCTTCGGCTTTATCGGGGATTGCCGTCTCGGGGGTGCCTACCAGAGCTCCCAGATCCGAGCCCTACTACTTCATGCTATATATAGATAGATAGATAGATATATATATATATATATATGTATATATATATATATATATATATATAATAGGGTTCTATCATATAGGGGTTTCAGAGACTCCGAGATCCTTTAAGTAAGTAAGGAGTATCCAATGTTTAGGGGTTTAGGGTTTCAGTTTAAGCCCAAAAGTTGGAAACCCAATAGTCTCAATCCTTTAAGAGTAATGTAGAGGGACTCCCAGCACTCTTTGGCCTTAATCCGGTTTCCAACTTTATGGGTTGTATTCCCCTGTAGTTCCGTTTAACAGCACTGCATTTTGGTTACTGCCCCCACTCAGCAACCGTCGAATAATATTCATAATGGAGGGTGGCCTTCCCGCGCCTGCGGGGCTCTTTGTGCCGCATGCCACCTGCTTGTCTTGCTTCAGGCACTATCATACCGTGCCTCGCCTCCAGAATCACCTCCGGAAGGTCCCCCAATGCCTTCCTGATGCCGCCCCTAGGGCTCGCTGAGGTTCGTGAGGTTGAACACGCCGATCGGCTCCGCCAGAAAAAGCTGCGCTCGGGGCAATGGCAGGACTTCCGTGTGGTACTTGGAAGGTCAGGGGACTTAGTAAGTAGGTTATAAGTAGGGTTATAATTGGGGTAACTCCATTTAGGGTACTTATAACTCTACTTATAACTTACTTACTAAGTCCCCTGCCCTTCCAAGTTCCTTCAGGCCTCCGGGCCCGCGCAGCCCACTCGAGACGAGCTTCTCGAGGCACTTGGCGACGAAGCGCCCCTCTCCCTCCTTAACCAACTCCTAGTCCTGAGCTCTCCTCCTGGGTTTGTGATGAGCTCCACCAACGCACCAAAGAGCCTCCGCGGACCGGGACTTGCAGCTTTTGGTGGCGACGAGTAAGGTGAGCTTCTTCGCGCTCTGGTTCACCTGAACTCATTTGCCCTCGGATGCGTCTGTCGACTCTGCAATCCGCCGAAAAAAAGGAGATGAATTAGGACCTTCACAGTAGCCCTATGATAGACTGTTGCTGTATGGGGGCAGTACCCAAACTACATATGCAAAACACATGCCCCAAAGCCCCAGGCCAAGGATTTCGGTGCCTTCGTTAACCCTGAACCGTGAACTGCAAATTCATGACCCAGAGATCCCCATAGCCCTTAATCTAGGATGCCCAGTAGTACCCTTATTCCCTTTTTGTAGTCCTAGGTTCCTTTATAAAGTTACACAATACCAAAAAGAGAGGCCTTGTTATTCTGAGGTTACTGGGTATCCTAGTAATTCAGGAATATACCCTTCAGGAACCAATTGGCCTTAGAATTAGGGGGGGTGTTAGCCTAAAGCCTAAGCCCTGAACCCTGAACCTAAATCCTTAAACCCTAAACCCTCAACCTGAAACCCTGGATTCTGAACTTTGGACCCTTAGGTGTTTCATTGATTAATGGGTATACTGGGATCTCTGAGGAATGAGGCCTCCAACTTCGGCTTCCTTCGATGTCCTCAAGTCCAAGATCTCTGTGGCAAAGATGTGTTCTTCTGCCTTAGGCCTGGGGACTACAGGTTTGGGGTTTTGGGTTTAGGGTTTAGGGCTCAGGGTTCAGGGTTTCGGGTTTTAGGGTTCAGGGTTTACGCTTCAGGGTTTAGGGTTTCGGGTTTATGGTTTCGGGTTTAGGTTAGGGTTTAGGGTTTAGGGGCCACTACTGCTCCCACTTCTCCTACTACTGCTGCAGCTGCTGCTCCCCCGCTTGCTACCTACTCTTGCTACTGCTGCCCCTGTAACGTTGCCCGTGACTACTTGCAGTAACTATGGCGCCGCGCCAAACTTCGAGTTAGCAAACAGTGCTTAGGGTCAAGTCCGATGGTAATTACAAGCAGCGTTTACAGTACCTTTCCCCGCTGACCTACTTGTATGATGCTGGGATTTCTTAAGCCGTAAACTTCAACGTCCAAACCCTAAACCCCAAGGCGTGAGCTGGAGAAACTTGTGTCTTTTCTGGCATTCAATTACCCTAAACCCTACCTTCTCAAACCCTTAAGTCCAAGTCTTGAGCCCAAAGCCCATGGCCAATACTTCCTAAGATCCGCACCTGCACGGAGCCGAATGCTTTTTTTTGCTGCGTCATGTTTTGCTAGATCATAGTTACGGCTGTCGACATCGTTACTTGAGCGGTTATGGTCATCCCTTAGTGACAGTGTATTTGTGGTAGAAATCTTGCTCAAAGCCGTATTCTAATTTTGAAGGCCCGCCAACTAACGGGGTTCTGCGATGTATAGTAGGAGTTCCTGCCATTTTGGACGGGATCAGCGTGCAATTCGACTGGGGACAAACTTTAAACCCTAAACCTTAATATAGGGGCCTAAATAATTACCAATATTATGGTGGGGGTTCCTTATTATGATTATAGTATAATGGGCCCCAAAACCCTATTCTAATTATTAGGGCCCCTACATTAAGCCAACTGAACTATCTTAAAGGCCTTCCGGGATGGCTCTTGCCTTTGCAATTGGGCTGAGTCTTTAATTAGTACAGACCCTAAACCCCTATCTCTTAAATGACGGAGTATGTTGTCTTGTCCAGGCCGTCCTTGAAAGTAGATTTTCGTATACACTGCAAGAACTGCCCTGTCTTCAGGGATTTCCCGGACTGGCTGCCGGGGATGTCCGTGGCATTTCGCCTCGTTTGGGACGACATAGGGCGACCTCGCGCAGCCCCGGAGGAGGCGCGGCAGACGGCCCATGAAGGGCTGTAAACAGGAGAGTCCGAATAAAACGGAGACAGTAATGTAGAACTTTAGATAGTTGGATCCGCATTGTAAAGACCCCCAAATTGAGGTACACGAGTTTTCTGAGTTGACAAAAAAGAGGGATCCACGGTAATATAGGGGCCTCAATAACTAGGATAGGGCTTTGGGGCCCATTGTACTATGCTTATAATAAGGAACCCCGGGAATAGTATAGGTAATTATTTGGGCTCCTAAAGTAGGGCTTTTCAGTTTCAGAGTTTAGGATGATGGGGCTTCGGTAGCTTGCGGAGCAGGTCTTTGAGACCTTCTCTGTTGGGTGGCGATGATCAGGCTAATACAACAAAATGTACTATATCATAAGGCATGTAATATCATATAATGTACTAGAATTTATAGTATCATTTAATGTACTATAATATAGTCTACTGAGAATAAAGGTATTGAGAATAACCACAATAACAGGAGCAATAACAATCATAACAGGCACAGTACAAGTACTCTTTACACTATAGTAGAACAAATCTCTGGTGTTAGTCATTCTTGTTCATGTTGCTGTTATCCCTCATTAGTTTACGCCCCTTTCCTTTGGAGCATCGGGATCCTACACACAAACCCTGAACCCTACAATGGACCCTGGAACCCCCTAAACCCTAAACCCTAAACCCTAAACCCTAAACCCTCAACCCTAAACCCTAAACCCTAAACCCTAAACCGATTCACTGACCTGATTTTGGGAACTCGGAGCCTGAAGTTCTGTCAGCACTTCGGATTTCGGGTTCAGGGTCTAGGGCTTGGGGTTTAGGGTTTCTCCACAGTCCAAAAGCCCCAATCCTGAAATCCCAGACCTGTAAGCCCATATATTCATATCTTTTTGCAATGCGAGCCTAGCTGCGACAAAGCTCTTCAGGCAAGCACTTTTTGCCGCAGCTGAAGCTTAAACGACTGTCGGGGTTTGGAGATTCTGGTTCGGGCTCAACGTTAAGGTGTTAGGGTTTACTCTATTTTTGGTTAGGTGTTAAGGCTTGCAGTTGGGCTGTGGGCCTTTTTGGGGTTGAAGGTTTGGCATCGAGGCGTTTATCTTTGGGCCTCGGGGTTTAGGGTTCGGGACAGACATAGGCATGCCCTTAATTCAGCGGTCGGAACAAGTAGTAATGTCCCGTTAGTATGTGCATGTCTATTATCATCACATACTCTCACCATAAAACCTTTTACCAAAACCCATGCCCGCTTTATTTTAAATTCGACTCTGTAGCTCCTGCCAGCTGTAGCTATAGTCTTAATCATTGAAACCCGGCAAAAGCGCAGAGCAAAAGCTCTCAAGGAATCCTTAAACAAGGGGCCTCCGATCTATCTCCTGTTTCTGGAGTATTGGGCTCTCTGGCTATGTAAAACCTCCGCCCTGCACTTCAACCCAATACCTTAAACCCTAAACCTTAAGTCCTAAACCTTCCTCTGCTGAAGAGTCGCTTGAGGTCCTTTATGCACTCCCTATAACCCCAGGGTAATATAGGGCTTTAAACAATTAGAATAGGGTTTTGGAATCCATTATACTACACATATAATCAGGAACCCCCCAAATTAAGGCCCCTCTATGACAGTGCCCTTATAGATCCCCTTAAAAGGAACCCTATTCTAACCACTGAGGCGCCTACATCACGGGTTTTTTTGGGCTCTCTAAGCCCTAAACCCTAAACCTTAAACCCTAAACCCTAAGCCGATGGGGTTTAGGGGTTTAGGGTTTAGGGTTTAGGGTGGCAGCCGATAGGCCGAGCCAAGCAATACGCCCCGACGCGACCAGGTGCCACAGCTGCCGTACGGTTTTGAGTTCTCCTCTAAGGGGTCCTTTAAGGGCTCCTTTAAGGGATACTATAAGGGATGCTATAAGGGTTCCTTTAAGGGATACTAGAAGGGATAAGGGCTTAGAATAGGGGCCTTAGATAATAATTAGAATAGGGTTTTAGGGCTCCTTTAACGGATTCTATAACAAGGGTACCATAAGGCCTTGGTATAGGGGCCTTTATCATTGGAATAGAGTTTTAGGGCTCCTTCAGGGCTCTAAACGGAGAGGCTTCAGAGGGGCCGTTTCAGGTCTTATTTTGTGTTGCGCTTTTGGGCAGTGGGCTCCTTTGCGGCTAGTTTCAGAGTTTGGTAGAGTCTAGGTGGTGTTTTCCAAGAGAGCCCAACCCTTGATCAAGGAGTATTCTTTGAATTATACAGGGGGCTTACTGCCTAAAGGGTTCCTTAGACGGAAAACAGCAAAATCAAAATACTGAAACCCCAAACAAAACCCGAAATCCTACAACCGGCCTGTACACAAAGTCAGAACCAGGTATACCCTGAACCCTACAAGCGGTTTTCATCCAGTTCAAGCGCAGGTGGAGGTAAGCCAGGACCTAAGCCCTAAACCTTAAACCTAAAATACTACGAATGGCCTCGGAACAACTTACCTTTCTTTAGTAGGGAATGGAGGAATGGGGTACAATGATAACTACTATTACTACCATTCTTCCATTCCCTACTAACCAAAGGTAAGTTATAGGATCATTAAGGCCCCTATATTATAGTACCGTTATGGATCCCTTATAGTAACCCTTATAGACCCCTTTATAAGGCCCCTTCCATTCCCTACTAACCAAAGGTAAGACAAAGCCAAGCCGAGGTTAAACCCTAAACCCTAAACCCCAGCCTTTGCAATGTCCCTGTCTTCCAGATACGAAGGTCCCAACCAAGAGGCTCCTCCTAGTATAGGAATTCTAGCTGTACTTGCAGGTGGAAAAGAGCCCTCAAAAAAAAAAAACAGCCTTTGAACAAAGCCAAGCCCAGGTTGAGGTGGCGCTGGGCCCGGAGTTTGGTCCTTTGGGCCTCGGGCTCCGCTGCGGTTGGCTCCCCGAAGTGGGCCACATCCGAGAGGACTTCAAAAGGGAATCCCAAACCAGAGTTTAAGGTTTAGGGTTTAGGGCTTGAAGTGAACCCTGAACCTAAGACAGTAATCACAGAGTTAACGGTTTAGGGTGTAGAGCTTGAGCTGAACCCTACAGACTATAACAGAGAGCTGGATAAGGGCCTTTATAGCATTTTGATAGAGTTCCGGTTTTTCTCTGGGTTTTGGGGGTGGGGTTTTGGGCGACATCCAGGAGGACTTGAAGTGGACTTCAACCCCAAACGAAGCTCTGACTTCTTTCTGCGACGCAGATGAAACAAGTCCCTAACTACAGTTTCCTAGGTTGTACTTGAGTCATATGTGGGTGCTTGTCAAAATTAGGGTCCCTTTTTGGGTCCTTACTATGATACGGCACCTAATATTTAAGGTACCCAAAAGGGGACCCTAATGTTGACAACTACCCATGTGGGAAGTTCTCTCAGAAACCCTAAACCCCTAAGGTCCTTCCCAAGGCTTTGCTGCATTATTTTCGGGGCCTAGGAGGGACCCTAATCTGGAGACTCCAATATCCCTTGATAAAGGAAGATGCCTTAAATCACATTAGGGATCCGACTATAAAATAAGGCATACTCCTCAGGTAAGGGATATTGGGGTCTCAGGGAATCTGGAGGGTACTTGGAAGGGCAGGGGACTTAGTAAGTAGGTTATAAGTAGAGTTATAAGTCCCTAAATGGAGTTACCCCAATTATAACCCTACTTATAAAGTACTTACTAAGTCCCCTGCCCCTCCAAGTAAGGTCGCGCTCCAGGGGCCGACACCTTTACGCATACAGTTGATGATATAAAGCCTGCATTACCCATAAGAAGGGATATACCATAATTCTCATAGTTTGGGGTCCTTAAGGTAATGCAGGATTTATATCATCAACAGTAGTATCCCCTCTTAGCCCCTAGTCATAAAGAATAGACTCCAAACCCTCAGCCGCAGACGACTAGACCCTAAACCCCAAATTTGTAAACTCCAAACCCCTAAACCCCTAAACCCCAAAGCCTAGCTATGTGAAAGGCTTCGATCGCGGTGTCAGGATGCATCCTGGTAGGGTTTGTTAGGGTTTTGGGTTTCAGGGTTCGTTTTTCGGATCGGGTCTGAAGGTTTCGGGTTTCAGGGTTTCAAGGTTTCGGGTTTAGGGTTTTCAGGTTCAGGGTTTAGGGTTTGATAGGCTTCTTGAATTGGATAGGGCATTCCCCTCCCAGAGACTCTGAAAATACTATAATATTTCAGAAGTCTAGTTTAATATCGTAAGAAGAACCCCCCCCATGATTTATGGTTTATTTCTCCTTGAAGTGTGTTTTGGAGTCACTGGGTTGTAGGGGCCGTGGTGCTGAGGGTCTGAATATAACTTAAAAGGGCCCTGGGGGTTGATAGGAGGCTTCGAAGTGGGCTGCCCACCGAAATCTTCAATTCTCCTTAAGCCGCACCTGAACCTTACCCTAAACCCCAAACCGTGAACCTTATACCTCGAACCTGAAATGCGGAACCCCACAAATCGCCGTCGACAGAGTTGCAACCACTGTCAAAGCTCTTGGGACCTCTCTTATCCCAGACCCCCGGGAGGATCCAAAAAGTAGATCCTATGAAGTACCCTTAGTAGTAGAGGGCACCAACTTGGGGGGATCTACTTTCTAGATCCTCCCAGGGGTCTGGGTAGGTCTTGATCCGTTTTTAAGTTATAAGAAGGATTTAGGGTCTAGGGTTCAGCAACCTTGAGCCCGAAGCTGCTACCCAGAGACTCCAATATCCCTTAATTCAAGAATATCCCTTAAATCATATTAGGGACCCTACTATGATTTAAGGGGTATTCCTTAATGAAGGGATATTGGAGTCTCTGGGTCCGAGGACCTAAACCCTAAAGAATCCCTTAAAGGAGCCCTTGAAGGAGCCTTACTAAGTCCCATGCTTGGAACGGCAGGGGACTTAGTAAGTAGGTTATAAGTAGGGTTATAATTGGGGTAACTCCATTTAGGGTACTTATAAGTCTACTTATAACCTACTTACTAAGTCCCCTGCCCTTCCAAGTAGACCCTAAACCCTAAACCCCATGAACCCCTTTAAGGAACCCTATAGATCCCTTTAAGGAGCCCTTTAAGAGCCCTTACTAAGTCCCCTGCCCTTCCAAGTGATCTTTTCAGGGGTCTGGGGAGGACCGGAGGAGCTTCTGGCTGGGCCAGGGGGTGCGCGTTGGGGATCGGCTCCTGGAGCTGAAGAGCGCCAAGGAGGCGTGGCTTCTGGGGCGGTCTGTAGGGTTACTGCTATAAGGGATCTATACGGGTTACTACAAGTGATCTATAAGGGTTAGTATCAGGGATCTAGAAGGGTTACTACTTTAAGGGATCTTGAGAGTTACTACAAGGGATGTATAAGGGTTACTACAAGGGATCTATACGGGTTACTATAGTGAAGGGGCCAGAATTAGAATAGGGTTGGGCAGGTGCTGCGGTTTTATGATTTTTGGTTTTGCATACATGGCTTATGAGTGCTTTCGCTGGCTTGTGTAAGGATTCTATAGAGGAGCTGTTACAAGGTTGAAGTGTTGGGGTTTTGGTGTTTAGGGAGTAGGGTGGCAGGGCTTTGGGGTTTTCGGGTTTAGGTCTTCAGGCCATGCCCTCTAAATTCGAAAGGCCCTCGAATCAACCCGATACCCCAAACCCTAAACCCTCAACCCCCCAAACTCTATTCTGATAACCTTAGGGTCCAGGGCCCAGGGGCAGAGTCATGGTCTTACTCTACATGGTGGAGCAAGCGCAAAATCTAAGCCAAACTTCCCCAGAGCCATAAACCTAACTCTGTGGGTTAAGGGCTTCCTTTCTTTGGTCTAGGGTGCTTGCAGGCTAGCGGAGGTTTCGTGGAATCAAGCTTTTGGAGCTACTCCTCCAACCCAGAAAGCCCGATACCTTTTGATTCAGGACCCTGGATAACGGTTCTATGGGGATTTAAAGGGTGCTTGTAAGGTTTTTATACCCGACAGTGGAAGGTGCGTGCATTGTGGTGATTTCAGGTATATTCCTCAATCAAGGGCCGTTGCGCTCTCTGGTTGCGTTTGTTTTTGATAGTGCAATGAGACAGCAGGAACATCAACAACAGGAGCAGCAACAAACTCAAGCAAGACGGTGACGCCTATTATCATGCTGATGATGATGAAGAGGTTCATGCAGTTTGACCATCATACTACTTTCATCAGTATTCAACCGACATTAATCCAAACCCGAAACCCCGAATTTTCAGCCCCAGACCGTAAACAAAAAAACCCTTAATCGAAAACGCTGTGCTACTGTTGTACGGGCCCTTATAACCCCTGTGAAACCGTTTACCCAGAACCCCGTGGAGGATCTAGAAAGTAGATCCCTTAATTTGGGGCCCTATACTACTAAGGGTACTTTATAGGAACCCCCATTAAGGGATTTGCTTTTTGGATCCTTGGGGGGGTCTGGGTAAATACAGACCAGGCAGTCAGTCTCGAAGACCTCGCACCTGGGAAGATCCTCCCAAGGCTTTGCGAACGGCCGCTGAGATTAGTTTTCCTGCGCCTCAGCGACTGTAAGACTTAGGGTTCAGGATGTAGGGTTTAGGGTGGTTTGGGGTTTGGGTTTAGGGTTTAGGGTTCAGGGTAAAGGGTGTAGGTTCCAGAGTACTATGGAAGCCCAAAATATGATTCCTTAGTACTTAGGGCTCCCTATTGTTTTTTTTTTAAGGCTTTGAGGGAGGCCAGAACCCTATTCAAGCTATTGGGGTCCCAGCATGAAGCCTGAACCCTCAGCCCTAAGCCCAAATCCCAAACCTGAGACCCTAACCCGAACCCACATAACAAAAAGAGCCCCTTAACTTGCCCTTAATAATCAACCAATGAGCTCTAAACCCTCCAGATCCTGGCACTCAAGCCCCGACAGGCAAAAATGTAGAATGCCAGACGGTAACCAACATTTTGCCTCACAAGTTCCCGATTGTAAGTATACCCTAGATTATGTAAAGGCTCCTAGACCCTAGGGCTATTGAACCAACAAGCTCTAAACGCCCCAAACCTTGGCACTCCAGCCCCAACAGGCCCCTTCTAACCCTAAACCTTAACCCCAAGACCCACTTAACCCTAAGCCCTAAACCCTAAACCCCAAAGCCCGGACCCTCAACTGTGGGTTTCGCTGACCTTACCTGCAAAGCGGAAAAAGGCATTAAAAAAGAACGCCCGGACCCTCTGAACCCCAAGCCCTAGGCAGTACCCTGCACCTAGACCACAACCCCGGGCTACGGGTCGGCATTCAGGGGTCGTGGGTTCTTGCTACCCAGATCTCCGGGAGGATCCAAAAAGTAGATCCCATTTATGGGGGGTTCCTATAAAGTACCCTTAGTCGTATAGGGCCCCAAATTAGGGGATCTACTTTCTAGATCCTCCCGGGGTTCTTGCTAAGGGATTTGACTTAGGTTACCATAATAAGGAAACCCTGTTCTTTGTTTTTAGGGTAACTCAAACCTTAAGCCCTTAGAGGAACCCTGTTGGATCCCTATTATGGTACCTTGAACTAAACTCCTTAACAGGAACCCAGGGTTTCCTGGGAGGTTCGGGGTGGTAATAAACCAAGTGGCAGTGTGGCTATAACCTGCAATCGAAGACCCCAGCTGTAGGTGGTGAAAGCTGAGCTGTCGGCACAGTCATAATTCGGCTGCTATGTCTTCCGAACCTCCAAACAGAGCCTGTATGTTGGCCTTTCTTGTTGCAGGATGTTCGACTATCAGACTCAAACAGCTTGAGCAAGGGTACCACCGGAACTCCCTAAGACCCCGACCCGAAATAAGCCCTAAACCCTGAAACCTAAACTCTAAACCCTATTCCGTACGCCTTAGCCCTAAACCTGGAACTCTGCTTCCAGTTTAGGGTGTAGGGGTTAGGGTTTAGGGTCTAGGGGACCTCCAGTAGTGCTAAAAGTTCCTTCTTGTCCATATGCTATAGTATGCTTCAGAGTCGTTATTCTAGTTATGAAGGCCCTTGTATTGGCAGAAAGGGTTTATGTGCCACTGTGGGAGATACTCTCGGGGTCACAAGACCTGCAATGTCGGAGCTTGTATGGCAAATGGAAGCTTGAATAACAGTTGTAGATACGGTTCCTCCTCAGGGTTTCCTAATGTAACCACATTATCTTCACCCCTAAAACCCTATTCTAACCATCAAGGCCCTTTGAAGGGAGTTACTATGGCAGCCTAAAAAGTAGGATCGTTATTGTAAGGACCCCCAAAGTAAGGTATCCCAATTTTCGGAAACCCCCAAATTGTTTCAAACCAACCCAGGTGCCTGCACGATGAGGTGTGAGAAGGCATGACATCGGAGATCCCGGGCATCAGAGACTTCGGGCATGACTGCGGCGAGGAAGAGCTCATCCGGCGGCTTTCTGGTGTTTTGCTGTAGTATGTCTTGTTATGATGTATTCAAGCAGTCTGTTATGACTTTACATATTATTGTCTGTTATGTCTTGCTATGATATATTCACACAGTCTTTTATAGACTTTGTTATCTACTAACATATGTATGTTCTGTTTTGTTATGCGAGCCAAGACTTGCGCTGGGACCTTCACTTGGCGACCGCTTCGGAGGAGATGAGCATCGAAACGAGAACCCTGGCTCCTGTCTGCCGGTGACCCCGTGAGACCTTCATCGGTTTAGGGATTTAGGGTTTAGGGGTTTAGGGGTTTAGGGGCTTAGGGTTTAGGGATGTAGGGTTTGGGGTTTAGCATGGCATTCACAGTTAGCATAGGGGCCTTAAGAATTAGAACAGGGTGTTGGGGTTGTATACCCGAATGATACTAAGGAGCCCCGAATTCTGTAGGCCCGATAATCCCCTGCCGGCGCCCGACAGTTGGAAAAGATGCTGCAACGGTTTCGTGCGCTCGCAGCTGTTGCCAGGGCTCCTGTTGCAACCCGCCTTATCCTTTTTCATGGTTCCCCCAACAGAATACACAGACCGGCTAGTAGACCTTCTTACATAATTCCTACTAAGGGATATAGGTATAGGGCTCTGTCTATTGTTTCTAAAAAGGACAAGGGTGGTTGCAACCCTAAACCCTAAACCCCAAATGCTAATGGGAGTTTCCGAAAATCGGGAACCCTAGTATGATACCCTAAATAGCAGGATCTTTATTATGAGGGCCCCAAAGTAATGTACCCCTAATTTTCGGAAACTCCCAAATCCTAAACCCTAAATTCTGCCAGCGGCCATAGAGTTTCCATTGCCCCATGTGCTTGACCTTTCCCAGCTTGTGCCGAGAGACTCCAATATCCTTTAACGAAGGAATATTCCTTAAATCATATTAAGGATCCTCCTATAATTTAAGGTATATTCCTTAATTAAGGGATATTGGAGTCTCTGGGAGCTTGTGCAGCATCTTGCACAGCGCTTCTTCCGCAGAATATGGCTTTGATCTTCAAGGGATGTGTTTCCGAGAATGAATCCCTTGCTGCTCGCCCACGCGCCTAGCTGCGGGTAGGCGCGGAGTCTTGGAGCCTAGGGCTTTCAGGGAGCGGGCATCCTGCGTGCTTCTGTGTCTGACTCGGAGCCTGCAGCCTAGATGTATTTATACAAGCCCTCAACCCCCAAAAACCGAACCTTAAACCCAGAAGCCCTAAACCCGAAACCCTCAACCCTGAACCCAAAAAGCTCTAAAACCTAAACCCAAAGACCCAAAGAACCCTAGACCCGAAATCCTAAGCCCTGACCTTAAGCCCTGAACCCAGAACAGGCCATGTCAGATGGTGGCGATGAAGAAGAGACAGACAAACTCGAAGCAGCGGCTCCGTCCAAGAGAATTTCACAAAGAAGTGGTATGGGGTTTACGGGGTTTAGGGGTTTAGGGCTTAGGGTTTCGGGGTTTACGGGGTTTAGGGGTTTAGGTGTTTAGGGCTTAGGGTTTCGGGTTTAGGGGTTTACGGTTTAGGTGTCCGGGGTTCAGGGGTTTAGGGTTCTAAGGTTTCAGGGGTTGGGGGCTGTTGGTTTAGTTGTTTGGGTTCGGGTGTACGATTTAGGTCTGAAAAATTGGTACTACATGAATTCCTTTTAGCCCCTGGACGATGACACTGCATGTACAACATAAAACCGTTTCCTAAACCTTCGTCTGCTGTTTAAGGCACCATAGGCGCTATGCTAAACATGACCAGATGAGAGGACATCGGTTATGTGTGGACAGGGATACAGGTGGCACCAGGATGCCGGCGAGGATTAGGAAGATGGAGACGACGATGATCATGATGATGATTATGATGACGGTGATGATGATGATGATGATGGTCATGACGAGGACAACGATGAAGACTGGCTGTCGATCTGTCGATTATGGTCTCGCGGAGGATGGTAAAGCTTACCCGGGCAGTGAGTACGGTAATCATGACTGTGCCGTTGATGATGATGTTTAGTTAGAGAGGCCGTGTCATGTCTTCTGATGTGATTCATGATAGCATGTAGACGATGACAGTGATTCTGCTGTCGAGAGGGTAACGGCGGGGTGTGGATGTTGGTGGCGAGGCTGACAGGAAGACGTCACAGTCATGGGCACCCACAATCCGTAATTGTACAAGGCTTATAATTCTTGGAAAGGTAGGCAGGCAGGCAGGCAGAAACCCGAAACTCTAAACTCCAAACCCTAAAACCATGTAGGTAGGCAGGTCGTTATGTACGTGATGTCATACCTCTTCAACGGCTCCTCCTCAAATCGAAGCCAGAAGCGCCCCGGGCCCAAGCCTCGGCATCTGCCAGAGGTCCTACCCAGACATGTCAGTATCCCTCAGCTAAGGAAAGTACCTTAAATTGTAGTAGGGTCCTTCATATGATTCAAGGAATATTTCTCAATCGAGGGATAAGGGATATTGGAGTCTCTTTGTAATGCATCTTCCCAAGCTGGTAAGCGCAACGCTCCCGCGCAATCACCGAAGAGCACTGACCTTGACACCCCTTGAACCGTGGGCATTTGGGGTTGAGGGCATGGGCTTGTGGAAGGCGACGTCCGAAGTTGGAAGCGTCGTATCTGAGGCGCGGGGAATTGACGGCTACTGCTCGGCCTCTTTCGTCTGTTTAGGGTGACCACCACCACAACAACAACAACTATTACTACTACTACTACTACTACTACTACTACTACTACTACTACTACTACTACTACTACTACTACTACTACTACTACTACTTCTACTACTACTACTACTACTACTACTACTACTACTACTGCTACTACTGCTGCTGCTGCTGCTGCTTCTACGACTGCTACTACTACTACTACTACTACTACTACTACTACTGCTGCTACTGCTACTACGACTTCTACTACACCACAACACCACTACTACACTACGACACGACCACACACACTACTACACTACTACACTACTACACTACTACACTACTACACTACTACACTACTACACTACTACACTACTACACTACTACACTACTACACTACTACACTACTACACTACTACACTACTACACTACTACACTACTACACTACTACTACACTACTACACTACTACACTACTACACTACTACACTACTACACTACTACACTACTACTACACTACTACACTACTACTACTACTACACTACTACACTACTACACTACTACACTACTACACTACTACACTACTACACTACTACACTACTACACTACTACACTACTACACTACTACACTACTACACTACTACACTACTACACTACTACACTACTACACTACTGTACTACACTTCTACTACTACTACTACAACTACTACTACCATTACTACGATTACGACTACGACTACCACTACGACTCCTGCTGCTGCTGCTGCCGCCACCTACGACTACTACTTTTGCTGCAACTGCTGCTGCTACAGCTACTGCTACCTACTACTACTACTACTACTACTACTACTCCTCCTCCTGCTGCTGCTGCTGCTACTGCTACTGCTACTACTTCTTCTAAGTAACAATACAAAACAAGACTAATTATTACTGCCACCACCACCGCCACCATCACCACCACCACGGCCACTGCCGCTGCCACTTCCGCTTGCATTGCCTGAGCCCTCAGCCGGATCCCTACAAGCCATTTCGGACCCTTGAAAGCAGGAGCCTTCGTGTAGCCCTTAGCAGCGAGCAATTGAAAGGAAGCCTTAAAGGCACCCTAGAGCCGAGTCGCAGTGTATTGAGCAATCTCTACTAGAGCCTTGAACCCAAAAGCCTAAATCTTAAACCCCCAAACCCTAAACCCTAAACCCACAAACCCTAAACCCTAGACCTTAAACCCACAAACCCAAAACCCTTAACTCATCTGCGTTTCTGAAAGCAGTGCGTCCCTTTTCGGGGCCTCCTCTGACCCGGGATCCAACTATGTAGGGCGTATCCTAAGACCCCCTCTGTTCTCAAGGTCTCCGACACAAAGATCTCCCGGAGCCCTGAAACCCTAAGCCATCTAACCCCAGACCCCAAGCCCACTAAATCCCGAAATCCTTAAACCCCTAAACCCCAAAACCCCCAAAACCCTAACCCCTGAGCCCTGTCTTAACCCTTTTCATGGGGCTTCGGCTCTGGGTACCAGGATGGCGCCAACAGCGATGCTACTGGCATGTCCGAGGAAGAAGCAGAAGACAATGCAGCTACAGAAGAGACTCGGGGGGCAAAGCTAATATCTATCTGCATCGACATATATTTACATATGCATATACATATCTAAACCTATACCTATATTTATACCTAAGTCTAAGTCTATGTCTATATCTAGATCTTTAACTATATCTATCTATCTATATATATATATATATATATAGAGAGAGAGAGAGAGAGGCGAGAGCACAGCTAATGTGCAGGTCGGGTCAACTGTAGAACCGGGTTCACTCAAAAGAGAAACTGCGAGGCCCAGTTTCATAACCCTGAGCGGCTTCAAGCTTAATATACCTATACTACAAGCTGCCCCAGAGCCCTATTCCAATCATTAAGGCTTCCATGTAAGTGGGAGGGTCTCCATCCCTAGGATCCCTAGTGCACTCCACCCTTGAAGCACCCTCCTAACGGTTGATGGTATAAATCCTGCATTACCTTAAGGACCCTAAACTATGGGAATTATGGTATATTCCTTATTATGGGTAATGCAGGATTTGTACCATCAACCGAAGGATCCGAAAGGGTTATGAAAAGGGCAACCCCAGTCAGCTTACCTGCGACTCCGAGCCTGGGCTAGAATCCACTGAAGCGGTTTAGGGGTACTTGGAGGGGCAGGGGACTTAGTAAGTAGGTTATAAGTAGGGTTATAATTGAGGTAACTCCATTTAGGGTACTTATAAGTCTACTTATAACCTACTTACCAAGTCCTCTGCCCTTCCAAGTAAGGTTTAGGTTTAGTGGTCTAGGGTACTTCAACCTGACCTGTGGACTTGCTATATAAGTCCACTGAGCCTTTTTTTGTTTGAGGCCCTTTCGGATGAGGCTACAGCAAGGAAATCGCTAAGCTCCGAACCTGAAATCCTATTGACCCGTGTTTCATGAGACCCCCGCTCTCTAACGGCCTTAACATCAGGATCCCGATGATCATCCCTTTTAAGGTAGGACTGGGTGTCTATGAAGCAGCATGTGCGTTCAGCCCCCAAGCCCTGAACTCTAAACCCGAACCCCTAAACGCTACTCTTAGTTCTTGTTGGAGGCTCCGTGCTCAACGGATCCAGGGCTTTCACTTCTCTCTTATCGAGCTTTAGGTGTTGTATGAATTAATAAACGGGCTTTCATAATTAGGGTAACGTTCTTCTAGCGTCCTGTAGACCAGGGCTTTGGGGTATATTAAAGTAAAATCAGTTGTAAGCAACCCTACGAAAAAGTATTAGCATGTATTCCGGGTCCTTGGATGGTTTAGGGCTTTAGGGTTTAGGGAATTAGGGTTTAGGGTTTAGGGCTTCAGTGTTCAGGGAATTAGGGTTTAGGGAATTAGGGTTTAGGGAATTAAGGTTTAGGGCTTCAGTGTTTAGGGTTTAGGGAATTAGGGTTTAGGGTTTAGTGTTTCAGGTTTAGGGTTTAGGGGAGTAGGGCATGTCAAGCCTTGGGGCGTGCGGATCGGGGATGCCATTCTTGGAGGGTCGGGGGACTTAGTAACCATAAGGGGTTCCTTAAGGGCCCCTTTAAAGGGATCTATAGGGATTCGATAAGGGTTTAGGGTCTAGGGTTTAGGGGGACTTAGTAACTGGTTACTTTAGGGACGTATAAGTACCATAACCCCAATTAGGGTCCCTTTTAGGGTACTTATAAGTCTACTTACTACCTACTTACTAAGTCCCCCGACCCTCCAAGTTGGGTTCAGTCACGCTTATGCTGGAATGCAGTCCAAAGCCCTATTCTCCTTATCAAGGGCCCTAAATCCTAAGCTCTACCTTCAACCACCACAACCTACCAAATTTTGCAGGTTCTTTTTCAGAAACCTCAATCTAAGATTTAGAGGAACCTTACAAAAAGTAGGTTGTTGGTAGTTCAAGATAAACCCTCAAGCCTGAAACCCAAGAGTCCTAAAGCCGAAGCCCATGATTTGACCAAGCCTTCATGCCCACACCCCTAAACCCGAAGCCCTACTTGGAGGGCAGGGGGCTTAGTAAGTAGGTTATAAGTAGGGTTATAGTTGGGGTACCTCCATTTAGGATACTTATATATAACTCTACTTATAACCTACTTACTAAGTCCCCTGCCCTTCCAAGTAAGCCCTAAACCCTAAACCCCATAGACCCCTTTAAGGAACCCTATAGATCCCTTCAAGGAGCCCTTTAAGAACCCTTACTCCTCTGCTTTTCTGAGGAGTTTCTGCGGAGATTCGAGGTTGTGGAATCAGATGACTTCTCCGCGGTTCAGATCCCTCCCAAGCTCGCGGTGCTCATCCGCGGGAAGTGGCAGGTGGGGCCCGGGGGCAGCCTTGTCCTTTTTCATGGTCCCCCTAAAAGAATAAACAGACCGGCTAGTAGAGCTTCTTAGATAATTCCTATACTAAGGGATATAGGTATAGGGCTCTGTCTATTGTTTCTAAAAGGACAAAGGTGGGTGGGAGTGCGGCACATGGGTTGGCAGCGCTTCGGGTTTCGGATTGAAGGGTTTAGTTTAGGGCTTTGGGGGTTCAGGGTTTCCGTGTCCCTATAAACCCTAAACCCTTGTTTGGGTGTAGAGTTTCGGGGCTAAGGTGTAGGGAGGGTTCTTAGCAAGTTGGGGATGTGAAAACCTGAGCCCCGCAGGCTAAGTTCAAGAGCTACACCATCCCGTCCTGGCCAACAGAAAGCTTTCGAAACCATAAATCCTTAGTAGATGAGTAGGCAACCTTGAACCTTTTAGGGTTTATATAATCCTACTATAGTTGAAAAGGTTAACCTTATTTGGGCTAGGGTACTCAGCCACTAAGAATGCGACTGCTACTGCTACTGCTACTGCTACTGCTACTGCTACTGCTACTACTACTGCCACTGCAGCTGCCGCTGCCGCTGCCGCTGCCGCTGCCGCTGCCGCTGCTGCTGCTACCGCTACCGCTACCGCTACCGCTACTTCTACTTCTACTGCTACTGCTACTGCTACTGCTACGGCTACTGCTACTGCTACTGCTACTAGTATTTCAACTACTACCACAACTACCACAACAACAACAACAAGTATCACTACCACTACCACTACCAGTGCCACTACCACTGCCACTGCCACTGCCACTACCACTACCACTACCACAACCACCTACCAACTACCAACTACCAACTACCCACTACCAACTAACTAACTAACTAACTAACTAACTCACTCACTCACTCACTCACTCACTCACTCACTCACTCACTCACTCACTCACTAACTAACTAACTAACTAACTAACTAACTAACTAACTAACTAACTAACTAACTAACTAACTAACTAACTAACTAACTAACTAACTAACTAACTAACAACTACTAATCCCACTACAGCTGCTTCCAGTACTAGTGCATGTTCCTGATAATGATGGCGATGATGATGACGACTCTGATAGTGAGGATGATGATGATAATGATGGTGATGATGAGCCGACAACGATGACGGTGGCGACAATGGTGACGATGACGGGTCTGTGTTTGGTCAGTGCTACGTTGGCTAATGCAGCCCTCTTGTTCCCCCGCTCGTTCGAGAAGGGCTTTGACAGGGATCCTATTATAACGACCTTGAAACAAAGCCGGGTAAACCCTAAACCCTAAGCCGTTGTAGGAACGCTTTAACAAGATCGTTCTACATCCTTTAGACGCCGTGATCTCCCTAACCCCGAACCCCGGCTTTGGCTTTTGCCATGCCCTAAACCTTAAACCCTAAACCCTAAGCCCTAAGCCAATGCTGCGATGAATTGCTTGATTGGTGGCAATCTGCTTTTACTGGGCGCAGTCAGGAATAACGGGTAGGTAGGCCCGGAACTGACCCGACGGTACAGTATACGATAGTTATGGGAATTTCCGAAAATAGGGGACCCTAATATAGTACCCCAATATAGTAGGATCCTTATTATAAGGACCCCAAATTATGGTACCCCTAATTTTCGGAAACTCCCTTATAGCCGGGAAACCCTAAACCCCACCAGCCCTAAATCCTGAACCAACCCTAAACCCCAAAGCCCCTAAGCCCATAAGCCTCTAAGCTCCCCTAAACCCTAAGCCCCCAAACCCTAAACCCCCAAACCCTAAACCCCTAAACCCTAAAACCCTTAAACCCTAAGCAGACCCTATAGTACCCTCAGAGATCCCTTGTCGAACCCTAAGCCCTAAACCCGTGAGGCCCTGAGTCGTGAACCCAGAGACTCCAATATCCCTTAATTAAGGAATATTCCCTAAATCATATTAAGGATCCTACTATAATTTAAGGTATATTCCTTAATTAAGGGATATTGGAGTCCCCTAAACACTAAACCCTATAGATCCCTTGTAGATCCCTTAAAGGAACCCTAGGTATATTCCTTGATTAAGGGATATTGGAGTCTCTGGGAACTGCAGGCTTTTCTCGAGAAGTTCCCGACTCGAGAGCAAGCTGGAGAGGCGATCTACGACAGTTTCATGGAGGCCCGCTGTTTCAGAGGGGAGACTGTACGGGGAGACGATAAGGGTTCTAGAAGGGATTTAGGGATACAGTTTCATGGAGGCCTTCCTGGGTTGAGCTTAGGGTTCTTGGGGTTTAGGAGTTTAGAGGTTTAGGGGCTCAGGGATTCGGGCCTGGGGGTGTTGGGGTTTCTAGGGAGTGTAGAGGCTTTGAGCTCGGGATGTAGGGTTTCGGGTCTGGAGGTGTCAGAAGGGTTTGATAGTGTCTTAGAAGAGGCAAGGGTGTTCATGAGTTTGGTGGCTTTTAAATATGAATTTTTTAGGGTGTGGTTTTCCAATAATTTCCATGCGGGTACTCTTCCTGAGACGCTTTTACATCGCAGGTTGTAGTACATTGTTGGGATCTCAAAAGCCGGGGTTGTATTGCTCGTGCTTCCTAGTCTTGATACAACTCTTCCCTCCAGTAGCACCCCTTCACGCTTATATTTTGCAGTTTCCACAGAACAACACGTGGAAAAATTGATGGTCGAATCAATCCACAACCAGCCGTACATTTTGCAGTTTCCACAGCTGAACACAGAAAACCTGATGGTCGAATCAATCCACAACCAGCAGCTGCACATCGCCAAGGGACAAGCAGGCTCTGTGTACTCTAGGCGCCTGAATAGATGCCAATGCCATTCCGTGGGGTTGGTTGTCATAACCAGTGCCATATAGCTGTTCAGACCCGCAGATAAATGGGTCCTAAACCCTAAACCCAAAACCCTAAACCCAAAACCCAAAACCATAAACCCTAAACCCCAAACCCTAAACCCTAACCCGCTATGTTGCGGAGCTGGAAGAACTGAGCCGGCCCTAGCCCTGTCCCAAAGCCTCGAACCCAACAACGCTCCAGCCGCAAACCCCAAAATCGAAGCTCTAAACTCGGAGGCCACCAAAAGGTGGGATGAGGGTAGGTAGGATTAAGGATCCCTTCTATAAGGCCTCTTATTGTGGGAATACCCCACCTATCTTCATCCCACCTTTTGAGGCCTCTGATAAACAAAGCCCAGCTCCACACCCAACCTCTTCAATAGAAAACAGCCATACCAAAATCATCAAAGCCCGAGAAAGAACCCCAACCCCAAAATCCCTACAAACCTAAATCATGCGATCTCACGCACACCCTTAACCCAACCCTTAAACCCTCAAACCCTTAAACGCTTTGGCGCTCAGGCCCTAAACCCTAAACCTTTGAAACCTTCAACCCTAAACCCTTCTTAACCCTTTCACTCTTAACCCATAAACCCTCAACCCTACATGGGAATTTCTTTCCGGAAAATAAGGGACCCTAATATGTTAATTACCCTAATTCGTAGGATCCTTATCATAAGGACCCTAAATTAAGGTGCTACTTGTCGGAAACTCCCAAAAGCTTCAAGCCTTCATAAAACCCTTAAAGTAACCCTTTAAAGGAACCCTTCAAAGGTATCCCAGGGTAATTCGGGATTTTCGGAAACTCCCAAAATCCTCAACCCTGCAAGGAGGCACCGAGTCTGCGGCCCCTCTTCAAGACTCCCAGGCCGCCTCAAGCGGCAAAAGCTTATTCTGAGCAATACGGTTGATGATATAACCCTGCATGACCCAGAATAGGGAATATACCAGAATTCCCATAGTTTAGGGTCCTTAAGGTAATGCAGGATTTATATCATCAACAGTAGTTAGACTAGGGTTCCTTAATATCCAGACAGCAGGCTCCTTTAAGAGCTCCTTTACTTTAAGGTCTCCTTTAAGGGATTCTTTAGGGTTTAGGGTTTAGGGATCTCTAAGGGGAAGTAGATCCCCTGATTTGGGGCCCCTTACTACTAAGGGTACTTTATAGGAACCCCCAGTAAGGGATCTACTTTTTGGATCCTCCCGGGGGTCTGGGTTATTCTGAGCAACAGTTAGACTAGGGTTCCTTTGAAAGGGTCTATGAGGGCTGTCGTAAGGGCTACTGTAAGGATTCTATTCGGGCTTGATTTACGGAATATCCCCTAATTATTCTGAGCTCTTGTTACCCAGAGACTCCAATATCCCTTAGTTAAGCACTACCTGGGGTTCCTTAAAGGGACTTATAAGGGATCTATAGGGTTTAGGGTTTAGAGGATTCCAATATCCCTTAATTCTGAGCTTTTGTAGGGCCCTTTCAGGGGCCTTTGAATTTTATAATAGGGTTCCTTTAAAAGGGATCTGTAAGGGCTATCGTAAGGGCTATTATAAGGATTCTATTTTTATTCAGCTTTTCTAGGGTTTCGGGTTTAGGGGTTTAGGGCTTAGGGTTTCGGGTCTAGACCTTCAGGGTTTCGGGTTTAGGGGTTTAGGGGTTTAGGGTTTACGGTTTCGGGTTTAGGGGTTTAGGGGTTTAGGGCTTTGGGTGTCGGGTTTAGTGGTTTAGGGGTTTTAGCGTTCAGGGTTTCGGGTTTAGGGTTTCGGGTTTCGGTTTTAGGGTTTCGGGTTTAGGGTTTCGGGGTTTGGTGTTTAGGGTTTTCTACCCCAAGTGCCTTTTGGTGGAGCCCATATGGCCCTTAATAGTGGGTAGTTACGGCATATTGGAGGGTAGTTCTGGGCTTGTGTTACTTGGAGCCGAGAAAGCACAAACCCTTTTAGGGTTCCGCATTATGGTTTTTATGTATACTTCCTTGAAAGGGTAGGTTTTTTGGGCCGCCGGTAGAGTTCAGGAATTTAGGAACTAGGGTTCAGGATGTAGGGTTTGGGGTTTAGCGTTCAGGTAGGGTCTAGGGTCCCGAATAAGGAAACCACATTTCTGTATCCTAGATCCCGCTTATGGTAGCTCAAGCCGAACTCCTTCATGAGAACCCAGTATTTGTTTAGGGTTTGGGGTTTAGCGTTCAGGGTTTATAGAGGTCCGAATTTTAGGCACGGTTTGCTCTGTAGCCCCTCTACTCTGACTGTTCATGCCTTTAGACTACGTTCTCATCCTTTTCGCGTCGTTCTCGGTATTGTTGTTTGGGGGCTTCATTCAGGTTCTGGGTTCAATTTTTGTTTTCGTAATGCTTCTCACTCTTGAAGATGCAGAAGACATGTAGTATTTCTCAGATGAGCGTCCGTTTGCGGGGTGTCGATTTAATGAGAAACGGCACCTTCCTGCCCAGACCCCGAATATTTCTTAGTTCCCACCGCGAGGCTTCTAAGCAGGAAACCTTGCAACCCCCCCAGGAGTCCCATAAAATCGTTCAGGATCGAAAGACCTTGCAACCCTCAGTGTATCTATACCCCGACACCCTGTTCTTATGATCAAGTCACCCATATGAGATCGCCCAGGGCATGTTGTCTCGTAGACCCCTAGAATCCTAGATCCTATACTCAGAAACCCGAGCAACAAGTCCGAGCCACAAGCTTCAACACAGAGACCTAGGTACCCACTACTGGTTGTTTCTTGTGGAGGAAATTAGCTTAAGTATGTCTCAGTGCTCATAACAAGGAAACCGTACTATTGTCGCTTCAGATCCCTCGTATGGTCACTTTAAGTTCCTGAGCAACAACCTAATCTCCAGCTCTACCCACACAGGACCAGCTTCTCCAAATCCTAAACCCATAGATCCCTAAGAATTAAACAGCTTTCAAAGCCCCCTGAACCCCTCTAGCCGCTCTTGTCCCTTGATATTCTAGCGTCTGAGTAACTAGCAATGCTGTCCCTTTCACACCCCTACATCCAATTATTTGATGTTGTCATAGAATATATCCCAACTATATAATTTGTCATATAGAATATCCCAACGCCAGACGTTCTCCTTAGATTGTCTCAACATGAAAGTTTGGTTTTTGTACAGGCGGAGCAAGGCGCCCCGAAGGGAATTCGGCCAGTATAAGATCAGACCCTCTTAGGACGACCATTGCATTTCATGTGAACAAACTTCTAAAGTCAGGCGAGACGACCAGACTATGTTTTAGATCCGCACGTAACCCTTCAAACAACTTGTGAAGAGACCCTGCATCGTCTGATCTGGTACTGGAGAGGCCAAAAGAATTACAAAAGCTTTTTCTAGAGGCTTCTTCTAAGCAGTACACCTCAAAACCCTAATTGTTTTAATTGTTGATGTCCCTAGACCCTCAAACCCTGTAGCACCCTCAAGTGCTCCTTATCAAGAGATAACCCTTAACCCTAAACCCTAAACCCTTTTGAAGGGTGCTCTCCCTGCCCTACAACTCTTTATCAAATACATGTATAGAATATTACTAGCAGTAGGAATAATTGTTGCTATCATTCGTAGCTTTACTAGATCGAACTCACGTGGAGCTATATATATATATACATATATACTAATTAATTTAGTAATTACTGTAACAATAATAACAATAATCATCATAAGTAATAGCAAGAATAACAGTAGCCGACTCGGCTCTGAGGTCGGTCTTCGGCCTGCGTTTCATCGCCAGCTTCACAAACTTGGTGGCGGAGTGCGACGATGCGGAGTCACTGAAGAGGCTTTAAAGACGGTTTGGGTAAACCCTAAACCCTAAACTCTTGACCCTAAGTTTGGGGCTTAGAGTTTAGGGGTTGAGGGTTCAGGGTTTAGGAGTCACTGAACTGGCTTTATTGGGTTTGGGGTTTAGGGTTTAGGGTTTCGGGGAGCTTATGTAGTGGCAGTAGACCTTTCTGGGTGTTCCATTTTTAAGATCTTTGAAAGGGGCCCTCGAAGAACTTGGAAATGCCTCAAAGGAACCCCTAGAAAGGCCTGAACCGAACCCTAAACCGTCCTAGAAGCTCTGGCAACTCGACTTGATGCAGGGGCCATAATGTAGGGGCCTTAGTAATTAGTATAGGGGGTTTTGGGGCCCTGTATACTATAATCGTAACAAGGATCCACCCAAAATAGTATAGGTAAGTGTTCAGGACTCTACAGTCGTGACAAACACTTCGTAGCGGAATGAGTGCACGCAACACTCTTTGGGATAATCTTATCCCTGGTAGAACTGAAAGTGTAGACTTTTTTGGCTTACGAAGTCAGCAACTAGACCCCTAAACCCTAAACTCCCTAACAGATTAAAGTTTCGGTGGTGCATTAAGGAGCTCCTGGCCAATTCTAGAGCCTTGAACCCAACATCCTGAACCCTTCCCTAGACGACCAGAACCTAACTTTGGTAGGATACCTGAAAAGTTCATAGCAGGGCTTATGATCAGAATGTAGATAAAAAGCCGGTAGTGGTAGCTTAAGGTTGATTCTGACCTCTAAATTCTGAATCCTACTTAACGGATCATGGGACTTAGTAACTCAAGTTATTAGTAAGGTAGCTATACTTCTCAATACTTATGACCTCACTTCAGGCACTTATAACCGTACTTACTAAGTCCCATCATCCTCCAAGTAGCCCGACCCAGAATCCCAAAGCTACGCCGTCAACCCGCAAAGCCCATACCCTTCCAGAGGGCATTCGGGATTTAGGGGTTCGGTGGTTTAGGGGATTAGGGTTTAGGATTTAGAGGTTTAGGGTTTTAGGGGTTTGTTTAGGGTTTAGGGTTTTGGCCCCCTACACCCTTACTGAGAAGCACCTCTCTAGACGTGAAGGGACGGAACCTTCTTGGGCTCCCTGGGAAATGCCACTGAACCCATCAAAAAACCAACAAACCACCCTAAACTCCTATATGGGTGGTTGTCAAAATCATGGTCCCTTTTTCGGTACCTATTCTAGTACGGCACCTATTATTTAGGGTACCCAACAAGGGACCCTGATTTTGACAACCACCCATATAGAACACCGTAAACACCCCCAGGGGCCTGGACCCTTCAAATGAGGAACCCCCAAAAAAGCAGATAAGCTAGGATGCCCAGTAGTACCCTTATTCCCTTTCTGTAGTCCTAGGTTCCTTATAGAGTTACCCAATACCAAAAAGAGAGGCCTTTTTATTCTTAGGTTACTGGGTATCCTAGTATGCATAAGCAGATTATAGGGATGTCCCTAACTAATTGGGCTTCATTATAAGGGGGGGTTTATATGGGATATTCCTATCCTAATTTTGATTGTGTGCTTTTTTGGGGGCCCTATTTAAATCTTCTTCAATGACCCCAAAAACTGCGGACCCTACAAAGCCTCCTCAGTGACGCGTAAAGGCTGATCCCTGAATAGAAGCCCAAATACCTACCAATACTACCCAGAGACTCCAATATCCCTTCATTAAGGAATATTCCTTAAATCATAATAGGGATCCTACTATAGTTTGAGGAATATTCCTTAATTAAGGGATATTGGAGTCTCTGGGTAGGGATCCTTGCCCTGACTTAATTATACCAATATAAGACTGCTGCAGGAGACCTGCGAACACGAAATGCGGAAGCCCTACAATCCAAATATCTAAATGTCTTGCTACCTGCACCTACAAGCGGTCAGTATATGCTCAACATCTTCAACCCTGGAAACCCTGTAATGTGGGGACATGAATACACCTGCAACCATAGATGTCCACGCAGGCAAACTGAACACAGTGAAGCTTCGAACTGCTCCTCAAGCCTAAACCGGTAATCTGCAGATTTGGGATTTCTGGAGTTTCATGTTTTGGGCCATCCACGTTTTGAGGATTCCAGTAATCTTGATCCCTATATAGTATCTTAAGTTATAGTTTCTGAACAAGAACCCTGCATTTCGTGTCTTTCGGAACTCGCCAAATCAGTCTTCAAAGCTTTGCCGCACCTGTGCCCTAAACCCTAAACCCTAAACCCTAAACCCTGCAGTTTTGGAGGTGCCTTGAGCCGAACACGACCTGAAGACGGCAGCCGAATCCCGAAACGAACCGAACCACTTAGGAAGGGCTCTCAAAGGGCTCCTTAAAGGGGTCTCTAGGGTTCCTTAACGGGGATCTATGGGGTTTAGGGTTTAGGGGCTACTTGGAGGGGCAGGGGACTTGGTAAGTAGGTTATAAGTAGGGTTATAATTGGGGTAGCTCCATTTAGGGTACTTATAACTCTACGTATACCCTACTTACTACGTCCCCTGCCCTTCCAAGTAGGGTTTAGGGTTGAGGGTCGAGGACGAAGCACGCCCCAACGGTAAATCCAAAGGTCCAAACCATCGTCGCCCAACGGCAAACCCCGGTAGCCCTGTGCCTTTAAGAGACTCTGCTATCCGCAAGCTGTAAGCCCTAAGCCCCACTACCTGGCAGCTTCAACCCGAAAGCCCAACTATGTTGCTTTGAATGACTAGACTAGTACGTATATGTATAATTATGTATGTATCATGGGGGGCCATAAGGGAGAAGTCTTGCGAAGAATTTCCACCTAAACCCTAGACGCTGGACCCTAACCCTCCGTAAACCGCAAAACCCCTAAACCCCAAACCCTACACACCTTCTATAAACCTTAAAGCCTGAGCATTAAACCACCCTAAACCCCAAATTTGAAACCCTAAACCCTCAATCCTGAACCCCTGTTTATTATCCCCATACTCGACTTCCCTAGGAACCCTTGACCCTACACCTTAAACCCTCAAGCTTAAAACACTGAACCCTAAACCCCAAACCAAAAACCCTAAACCTTAAACCCTAAACCCTAACTAAACGCAGGCAGGTGGAAACCATGGGTTTCCAGCACCTAGACTCGGAGGTGACTCCTCCAAGGGCTCCTTGGCTACCAAACTTGGAGGGTCGGTGGACTTAGTAACCATAAGGGGTTCCTTTAAAGGGGTCCTTTAAAGGGATCTATAGGGATTCTATAAGGGTTTAGGGTTTAGGGTTTAGGGGGACTTAGTAACTGGCTATTTCAGGGACTTATAAGTACCATAAGCCCAATTAGGGTCCCTTTTAGGGTACTTATAAGTTTACTTACTACCTACTTACTAGTCCCCCGACCCTCCAAGAATGGATACCCGGGCCTTTAAGGGTTCAGGGTGTAAGGAGATCCCTCAAAGGAACCCTTATAGTAGCCTTTAAAGGATCCCTATACTATAGGTATTTAGGCCCTTTGATTTAGGATTTGGGGTTTTTGAACCGTCAGAGAAGGGCAGAGGGTTTAAGGATGAAGGGATCTATAGGGGTTCTATAAGGGAATTCAGGAGTCTACCTTGCCTTAAATTTACAGTACCCGTGCGATAAGGGTTTAGGGGTTTAGGGTTTAGGGTTCAAGGATTTCGTCGTATCAGGGGTCCTACTATAATTTAGGGTATAGTCCTTAATTAAGGGATATTGGAGTCCCCTAAACACTAAACCCTATAGATCCCTTGTAGATCCCTTAAAGGAACCCTAGGTATATTCCTTAATTAAGGGATATTGGAGTCTTTGGGAGCCGATGCCAGAGAAGGGACTGAGGGGTTTCTCGGAGGGTCCCTTCAAGGGTTCTAGAAGGCATCTATCAGAGAAGGGCTTAGAGTTTCAGGGTTTGGTTTTTTTTAGGGTATAGGCGGCACAGGGTCTTATTGCGTTTTGTTGGGTGTAGGGTTTAAAGTTTAGGGTTTAGGGTTTTGGGGGTTTTGAGATTTGAGGTTTAGCGTTTAGGGGCTTAAGGTTTGATGTCCAGGAAGTGCTATTACTGTTGATCGTTTATGGTTAAGTATGGTCATTACTGTTATTCTTGCAATCATGATTGTCCTTTCTGGGTTGTGTTTTTATTCCTCAGTCTGAGATTTGCCTTCTAGTGATGAGGCTTTTCGACTAAAGCTTAGGCACCGCCCCCACTCAGTAATAGTTGAATAATATTCATACATATAGATATAGTAGGAACTTAATAGTAGCCCTATTATAGACTCTTACTGTATCGGGGCCGTATAGGGCTGGGAGGCGTCCGTGTCCCAGGCGGATGAAGGCGTTCAGCCCGAAAGCCCTCCAGCCCAACTTGCTGCACCGCTACACCCAAAACCCTAAACCCCTAAACCCAAACAACCTTGTCCTTTTTCATGGTTTCCCCAAAAGAATAAACAGACCGGCTAGTAGACCTTCTTAACTAATTCCTACTGAAGGATATAGGTATAGGGCTCTGTCTGCTATTTCTAAAAGGACAAGGGGAACCCAAACCGCTTAAAATAACCCTGATTGTGATTTATCTACGCCAGACCTTCCCCCTGAACCCAAGAACCTCGCACCGAAATTGCTCCGAACTGTAAATTTAAACCCTAAACGCCAGTCGCAAGCCTCCCCTTCTTTCTGGTCAGCAGAAGTACAGTGTAGTATAATGCTTACCCAGACCCCCAGAAAGGATCCAAAAAGTAGATTCCCATAAAGTACCCTTAGTAGTATAGGGCCCCATATTTGGGGATCTACTTTCTAACCCCCGGGTGTGCCGGCAGAGGTCGACGTCATCCGCGATGCAATTCTCGGAGTGATGGACAGCGAGCTTGGAGAAGATGATCCTCAATTCGAAGCTTGGGTGCGGCTTTAGACTTCTCGCGGTCCAGGATTGCTAACAATTTACTAGAGGGGCCTAAATAACTACCAATGTTATTCCTAGGGTTCCTCGTTATACTGCTATAGTTATGGTGTAATGTGCCCAAATAAACCTATTCTGCTTCTTAAGACCCCTTCATGATAGTAACCTTATAGATCCCGTATAGTAGCCCTTATAGACCCCTTCAAATAAATCCTATTTTGATTCTTCAGGCCCCTATATAAGGAATTTTGGCCTTGGGATTGCTTGATTAGGGTTTAGGGTCTCGGGTGTAAACCGTTTCTGTTCCTCAGAAATCCTTTCTCAACCTCTTTTAATATCAGTGAGGGCGTACCATACCTAATATAGGGGCTTGAATAAGTCAGGGATTTCCTAGGGTTCCTTCAAAGGGGTCTGTAAGGGCTACTATAAGTAAGGGCTATTGATAGGATTTAATATAGGGGCCTTAACAATTAGAATAGGGTCTTGGGGCCTGGTATAATTTTGATAAGGACACCAACCCCCCAAAATAGCATGGGAAATTATTGAGGCCCCCTATTTTAATTTTGTGGAGTTCAAGGCATAGACTGATAAATTTCCAGTGTTGCGCTATAGCATTCGGTTCGGGGTTCAGGGTCTGGGGTTGAGGATTAGAGCGTTTTGCGGTGACTGCTTCTTCCTCCAGGGAGTTAGAAGGAAAATTGCCACCCCGCCACATTGGTGAAATGGCAGTATCTTTATCCTGGGCCATGCAGGGTACAGTTGCAGAGTACCAATATCTTCTTTCTTCTCTGTGTTTACATCCGTCTCTTTGCAGAAAGCAATTTCGAAGTACCGTGAAGTGGGGCGGCTAGGACCCTTGTTTTAGCTTGTGTACCAGTGCGGCCGACCGCCGCGTATCACTGCTATGCTTTCAAACGTTTCTAGGAACTTTTGGAGACCCTAAGCCTCCTGCACCCTAGACTTTGTCACTGTTGGGTAACATTTTACATTTTTATGGGTACTTAAACCCAATAAGGAATAAAAATGTACATTTTTAATCCAATCCCAACAATGAACTAGTAGACTAGTCGCACTAGCAGTAGTATGCGCTTTGGCCGTTTTACGACAAGCTTGCACCAATCCTGTCAAGGTTAAGGGTTAAAGCTTTCCTTTTTGTTTGTGGCGTGTTTGCAGTATTGATTTTTGGTTTGCCACTCGCTGTTCTTTCGTTCGTGTGGTTTTTACTCATGCAGCAGCGCCAGCTTCACCAAGTCACTGCTTCTGTTTACTGTTTGTTCTTCCTCTTCGACGAGCACTTGCACCAGTACCGGTAGTACCCTAAACCCCTAAATTCTACACGCCGGACCCTAAACCATGTTGCTGACCTGCACTCCTGTAGTTGCCATTAGTGCCATTTTTCAATAAGCCTACAACCCGAAACCCTACATCAGCAACCTTACGCCCTGAACCCGAAGACCGAAGGCCTAAACCTTTAGTACTGCCCCCCGCTCAGTAACAGTGGATGAATAGATGCATGTATAGAAGGCCTTACTAGGAGCTCTCTTAGTGACGTTACTGGATGGGGGTAGCACCCAACCTAAACCCTACGCTTGCAACCTCAAACCCTAAACCCGAAACCCTGTGGGCTTTTCGTAGCATGGGCTCTTATGCAGACGGAGAAGAGGCCTGTAAAAAACGGCCCAAACCATTGAGACCAACACCAAGGACACGGTTGGCCGAGACGCTTTTAAGGCCGCCGGGTTGCCTCAGGGAGTCTGAGTTGAGGACAACATAGCCGGCTTGAAGTAAAGAGTATATAGGGTTCCTTTAAAGGGCACCGCGGGGTTCTGCAATAGGCCTCCCTTTAAGTTTAAGGGTACTGCAGGGTTCTAGCAAAGGGCTCCTTTCTTGGGTCCGTTACAAGGGTTCTTTTGGTGTTCTTTTGTGTTCTTGTGCTTCTAAAAGCCTAGTCTATGAATCGTTTGGATATCTGGTCTGGGCGTATATTATCACATTAGGGAGCACTTAAATAATTCACGGTTCATATGATGGGTTCCCAAGGAATACATACTATTAGTAGTTGCCTGGGGTTCTGTGTTTTCAAAACAGAAGGTTTAAACCTATCCAAGATCGGGTTTCGGGTCTAGGGCTTAGCGTTTAGGGTCGTTCGGGTTTAAGTTTGTTTTAGGGCATTGGGCTTTGAATGTTTGGGGTCAGGGTTTAGGGTGTAGCGCTTAAGGCTGCCAGTTTGAGTCAATGCATCTGCCGCTTGCTTGGCTCGCCTCAGCCGTGTCTATTCGCCACCGGCCAGCTTGGTGGGCGACATGACGAAGTTGAGCATCGTGCTCAAGCAGGATGAGGCGCCGGCAACACTACCTAAAACAGAAACCCCGAACCCAAAATCCGCAACCCACAATCCTAAACCCAAACCCTCAACTCATGAAAACATTAGCCCTAAGCCCGAAACCCAAGCCCAAACCCAAAGCCTAAACCCTAATTTCCTTAAGCCTGTAAAGCACACAAATCCCTTCAAATTCCTTCAAACCCCGAAAATTCCTAGAGCCCTTAGTCTACCCTTAAAGCCCTTCAAACACTGTGAACCCCTTGTAGAGCCTTTGCCCTGAGACCTCTATAGATCTAGTACTAGTACAACAATAACAACGACTGCTGCTGCTGCGACTCCTACTCCTACTCTTACACCTTCCCCTACCCCTACTCCTACCCTACTCCTTAGGGTTTAGGGGGGAGGGACTTCTACCACCCCTAACAAGGGAGCCCCTGGACTATAGAACCCTTATTATAGATTCCTCATAGACGCCTTTAAAGGAATCCTGTAAAAGGAACCGTATTCTAATCATTAAGGGCCTTAGATTGAGCCCTTTGGGAGGCGCTGGGGAAAGTCTGCCGTGCACTGCCCTCCGCGTGGCCGAAGCTTCGACGGGCCTCGAAGCTTTACATGTGGCGTTTGGATGAGCAGACACTGGGCTCGTTTTTGTACTTAACTTTTTTGGCTTCAGGACGAAGTAGTAGTAGTAGTAGTAGTAGTAGTAGCAGTAGCAGTAGTAGTAGTAGTAGTAGTAGTAGTAGTAGTAGTAGTAGTAGTAGTAGTAGTAGTAGTTGTTTGGGTTTAGGGTTTAGGGTTTGGGGGACCTGCTACTAAAGAGAAGCATTATGAAATAGAAGTAGATACTTTTCCTCTGTGTGTCGGGTCGTCTCAGGCATCCTCTTGGGTTTTGGGGGTTTGGGGTTTAGGATTCCAGAGTTTGTTGTTTGTCAAACCCTAACCCCAAACGCTAAACCCCACCCTAAACCCTATACCCCAAACCCTAAACGGCCCTAAATGGCCCTAAACCCTAGAGTTACGGACTGATTGGCGGACCGAGGAAGCTGAACACCTTGCAACAGCCCCTTGGGATCTAATCCGCACTTGTTTTTGCGCACTGGTTCTGCTGTCCGTGCAAGCACCATAAAAGAATCCGAGACCCTAAGCCCTACTTGGAGGGGCAGGGGACTTAGTAAGTAGGTTATAAGTAGGGTTATACTTGGGGTAGCTCCATTTAGGGTACTTATAACTCTACTCTACTGATAACCTACTTACTAAGTCCCCTGCCCTTCCAAGTTAGCCCCCTAAACCCTAAACCCCCCTAAGCCCCCAAGAACCCTAAACCCTAAACCCTCAGCCCCAAGAACCCTAAACCCCATAGATCCCCTTTAAGGAACCCTATAGATCCCTTTAAGGAGCCCTTTAAGAGCCCCCAAGAACCCTAAATTGTGAGAACTCAGGTCCCTCATTGAAGACCTCAACCTGGTCTTCGTCGACCTGCATGAGCTTCTCGATTTAGGGTTTAGGGTTCTTGGGGGCTTAGGGTTTAGGGTTTAGGGGTGTAGGGTTTAGGGTTTAGGGTTTAGGCTTATCCTAGGACCTGGAGTAGGCCCTTATTCCCTTTTTATTGTTCAGGTTCCCTTATAAGCCCCTTTAAGCCAAAAAGGGCGCCCCTTTCTTCGGCTTCCCGTAGGACCCGGCGTAGGGCTTAGGGGCTTAAGACCCGTTTCTGGAGTAGTTAATCAAACTTGCAGTTGGAGGGGCCTTGAGAGTGCAACCCATGTTGTACAGTCTACAAAAACTTAGGGTTTAGGGTTTAGGGTTTAGGGTTTAGGGTTTAGGGTTTAAAACCCGAATAGAGCCCAAATGGCCATTGTGCACCAAAAAGCCTCAACTCCTAAAGCTTTGAAGCTTTAAAAACACCCAAAAAAGCCCTAACTCTGAACCCCAATGCCTGAACCCTAAACCCAAGAGACCGTCAACCTAACTAAAAAAAAAGAACCCTAAACCCTGAACCCCTAAACCCCGAAAAAGCACCGAATCCGGGGGAGCCCAGGCTTTGCGAACGGGGAGATGCCGAGTGCGTGTGGATTTTGCTCTCCCAGGGCATGAGCGTGAAGCTTCGGGACCCCTCGCTTTTTACTTATTTTTTTTGTTCAAGGGGTTTAGGGTTTAGGATTTCGTTTGCTTTTTTAACGTTTTAGGGTTTATGATGTCTTTTTGTTTTAAGGTTTAGGGTTTAGGAGTTCTTTTTTGTTTTGAAAGGGATTCTTTGTATTCTAGGGGTTTAGGGCTAGTGGTGTTCAGGGTTTTGGTTTTAAAAGGGTTTAGGGTTTCTTCTTGATTTTAGACGGATTTCGGGGTTTAGAGTTTGCGAGGGTTTGCCAGCGGTTGTGTATTGGGTTTGATAGCGTTTTTTGATGTTTTGTTCGGAGTTTTGTAAGTCTCTGTGGAGCTGATGGACCTTAATGGTTCTGTATGTTTCCTGCTGAGAGTTTCATGGGCTTGGCATGTTGTTTTTTTGGGCTTGCTTGTGGTTGTGCAGGTTTTCGTGCTGGTACATGGCGTTTTTAGGGCTGTTTGCAGGGCTGGCTGTAACAAGACTCCGGATGGGATTCGTGGGGATTAGGTTAGTGGATGTAGTTTGAGCTACCGTAGCTGATGGATCATGAATGAAAGTATGCTTTCGTTTTTCCAAATGAACTAGAGAAGAAGCCAGGATCCAGAAGGCGCCACCCTTCTGCAGAAAGCCACACACAGCGGCCGCATCACGGTTCTCAAGTTGATCATCGAGAAGGGCGGAAACATTAATGCCAAGGGCTCCTATGGCTACACGCCCCTGCATGAAGCTTGCTACCTCGGGAACCCGGACGTTTGCGAACCTGGGCTTTGGAGTACCATACTGTAATACTTTTTTCTTAAAGGAACCATTATGACATAAAAGTTTATACTTTTTCTCCCTGGTTACTCAAAAGCCCAGGAACTTCTCTTGAACGCCAAGGCCAACGTAGACGCTTTGAGCAAGAATGGCTCCACGCCCCTCTTGGTAGCATCGCGCGAAGGTCACACCCCTATCTGCGAGTCCTTGTTCCTCGCACTTGTGAGCAACATCTTCACTTAGGGGTACTTGCAAATAATGTATAATTTTTGGTTATTATCATCCCCAAGAAACAGCTAAGATTATAATTTTTGCTAGGGTTCTAAGTTCAGTATAGTTCAGTTTGTCGCTGGAGGAAGACCTGTGGCCCCAAAGACCTGCCTTTTTCGGAGTAATAAGTATATAAGAAGCCATCATAAGGATCCCCTAAACCCTAAACCGTTTCGGCTACAGGGAGTGCTTATAAGGCGAGAACACTCAAAGGGGAAAAGGATGGACCCTTAATGGGGACCCCTACCCTATAATGGGCTATATAATGGCTATATAATGGGTATATAATGGCTATATAATGGGTATATAATGGCTATATTAAGGGTATATACCTAGGGGTCCTTATTAAGGGTCCCTCCTTTTCCCCTTTGAAACACTGAGCCCCAAGCTTTCAACTCAGAGCTCCAAGTCCGAAGCCCTCAAACCGCTTCGCTTTAGGGCTGTTGGGTTTAGGGTTTAGGGTTTAGGGTTACGGGTTACGGGTTTAGGGTTTAGGGTTATGCCCGGGAGGATCCAAAAGAGTAGATGGGAGTTTCCGAAAACTAGGGGTACCTTATTGTGGGGTCCTTATAATAAGGATCCTACTATTTAGGGGTACTTTTTTAGGGTCCCCTATTTTCGGAAACTCCCATATTGGGGTCTTCTGAACCCTAAGCCTGATGGATCCCTTATAGAGATCCCTTTGAGGAACCCTGGGGAGTCCTTGACCTCCGGGAGGATCCAAAAAGTAGATCCTTTGGTGGGGGTCCGGGTTCCAAAAAACGTACCCTTAGTAGTATAGGGCCCCAAATTAGGGGATCTACTTTCCCTTCTAGATCCCAAAACCCTAAACCCTAAATCCTAAAGGATCCCATAAAGGAGCCCTTTAAGGAACCCTACTAAGTCCCTCTAGAGCCCCAAATTAGGGGATCTACTTTCTAGATCCTCCCGGTAGTCTGGGTTCTTGAACCCTCGATTACAGAGCTTCTCATCTAGGACACCCCGAACCGGTCTAGAACTTAGAGATTGTTTTTGGCAATGGGAGCCTAACTACCCGGAGACTCAGGAATATCTCTTAAATTATAATAGGATCCCTGCTATGATTTCAGGTACATTCCGGCGATATTGGAGTCTTTGGGTAGAACTTATAGAACCAAACCCGAAGCCCTAACCCCTAAACCCGCATTGGAACCCTCTCTGAAACCTACCAGGTGCAGGCATGGGGCAGATGCAGATGATGGGGGTGACAAGGGCTGGACCCCACTGTCCGTGGCGGCTGGCGAGGGTCACGCCGACGTTTGC